CTCCATAAGTTCATGTATATATATAGAAATTGTATGCCTTCTTAATGATCAAACACACCCACCCCCTCCACAAGTTCATATATATATAGAAATGGTATGCCTTCTTAATGATCAAACACACCCACACCCTCCACAAGTTCATGTATATATATAGAAATGGTATGCCTTCTTAATGATCAAACACACCCACTCCCTCCACAAGTTCATGTATATATATAGAAATTGTATGCCTTCTTAATGATCAAACACACCCACTCCCTCCATAAGTTCATATATATATAGAAATTGTATGCCTTCTTAATGATCAAACACACCCACTCCCTCCACAAGTTCATATATATATAGAAATTGTATGCCTTCTTAATGATCAAACACACCCACCCCCTCCACAAGTTCATGTATATATAGAAATTGTATGCCTTCTTAATGATCAAACACGCCCACTCCGTCCACAAGTTCATGTATATATAGAAATTGTATGCCTTCTTAATGATCAAACACACCCACCCCCTCCACAAGTTCATCTATACATAGAAATTGTATGCCTTCTTAATGATCAAACACGCCCACTCCGTCCACAAGTTCATGTATATATATATATATAGAAATGGTATGCCTTCTTAATGATCAAACACACCCACCCCTCCAAAAGTTCATGTATATATAGAAATTGTATGCCTTCTTAATGATCAAACACACCCACCCCCTCCACAAGTTCATGTATATATATATAGAAATGGTATGCCTTCTTATGATCAAACACGCCCACTCCGTCCACAAGTTCATGTATATATATATATATAGAAATGGTATGCCTTCTTAATGATCAAACACACCAACCCCCTCCATACGTTCATGTATATATAGAAATTGTATGCCTTCTTAATGATCAAACACACCCACCCCCTCCACAAGTTCATATATATATAGAAATTGTATGCCTTCTTAATGATCAAACACACCAACTCCCTCCATAAGTTCATGTATATATAAAGAAATGGTATGCCTTCTTAATGATCAAACACACCCACCCCTCCATAAGATCATGTATATATAGAAATGGTATGCATTCTTAATGATCAAACACACCCATCCCCTCCATAAGATCATGTATATATAGAAATTGCATGCCTTCTTAATGATCAAACACACCCATCCCCTCCACAAGTTCATGTATATATAGAAATTGTATGCCTTCTTAATGGTCAAACACACCCACCCCTCCACAAGTTCATGTATATATAGAAATTGCATGCCTTCTTAATGATCAAACACACTCACTCCCTCCACAAGTTCATGTATATATATATAGAAATTGTATGCCTTCTTAATGATCAAACACGCCCACCCCTCCACAAGTTCATGTATATATAGAAATTGTATGCCTTCTTAATGATCAAACTCACTCACTCCCTCCACAAGTTCATGTATATATAGAAATTGTATGCCTTCTTAATGATCAAACACACCCATCCCCTCCACAAGTTCATATATATATAGAAATTGTATGCCTTCTTAATGATCAAACACGCCCACCCCCTCCACAAGTTCATGTATATATAGAAATTGTATGCCTTCTTAATGATCAAACACACTCACTCCCTCCACAAGTTCATGTATATATAGAAATTGTATGCCTTCTTAATGATCAAACACACTCACTCCCTCCACAAGTTCATGTATATATAGAAATTGTATGCCTTCTTAATGATCAAACACACCCATCCCCTCCACAAGTTCATATATATATAGAAATTGTATGCCTTCTTAATGATCAAAACCACCAACCCTCCTCCTTCTACATCATGCATATGGAGAAATTTCATGCATTTTTTATTTTCAAACACCTTCTGAGTATATAGAGTCACGGATGTTTGAAAGAAAGCAGTAAGATAAAGTCCTAGATGTTAACACCACATTATGAGCTATGTCCCTGGCCATCACACAATCAACCAAGCCTGACCGCTCAATCCAATTAGTTGCCTCTCAAGACATGCATAGGATGCTGGGAACCTATTCTTACCCAGAATGCCATCAGGGTTGTATGAGATATGCTCTCTGAAGTGCTTACAAACTTTCATCAAGAAATATCGACCGGTTTATGAGTTATGCTGGACAAAATGCTATACTATCATTTGAACCTAAAAATTGACACCAAAATTGTTATTTCCCTAGAAAACACAAAAATGAAATATTTATCAAATTAAAGATAAACAAAAGACGTGATATAGTTTCAGCCTTGGTGGTAACCATGGTAGCCAAAGCATGAAATTAGAGGGAATTCTTGAGCCATTTATTGGTGAGGCAGATTGCATTTCAAGTACAGTAAACTACAGTAGTAACGTTCTCAAAGGGACCACTAATTTGAGTTTGTTAGAACAGCCATAGTTCGTTATAAGCATACATACAGTTTATATATATAGCAAATGGCCGGGACCAAAACATAACTTTCTTATATCCGTCAGTTCGTTATAAGCGTGTTCGTTATAAACATAGTTTACTGTATGAAACACTGGGGACTTACTTCACTCTGCAATTCCTGAAAATGCTACCAGGCAATCTACTACAGAAGTGACAATAAATTATACACAACCAGTTGGCTAATTGCCATTACAGACTAATCACAAATTTAAATACCAATAGAATATGTTGGCATGAAATTAACACATTTATTTAAACCCTGCAAACTGAAAAGCCTGGGAAAACAATGGAAATTTATGTTATGATAAATTTCATTATTTGAAATGAAAACCTTTCAAGTTCAGCATGTCATGTATCTTTTCATTACTTGTTTATCAGCTCACTTCATCATTTGTGTACCAGCAATAATTAAATGTCCAACTGAGCCATCTGTATTCCAGATCAATAATGATATATATATCTTCCTTTCATCCCCTGCTATTACCAGCTGATATCCCAGTTATCTCCCTAGCAGTGGAACAAAACACCCTGGCACTGACAGCAGACAGCCATTGTTGTAACATTGTTAGGAGTGAATGAATGTTGTTGTATACAGCTGCTTGCACTATTGCAGCCGTTACAGGTTTGGGATCAGGCAACGATCCCTACAGCATTGCACAGGGCTCCATTCGGCCATACAAAACATGCACCAGGGCAACCTATTTTTGAAAAATGTAACCTAATATTTATGTCTACATGCACTAAGTGCATGTCAAAACAAAGATGTTTTGTCTGACTAACCCTATTTTCTCCACACAAAACTCTGTGAACAAACTCACTGCCTCCAAGCTTACCTTACTACGTCACTAACCCCTGTGTGTCGAGTAATTCATGACACTTGACACAATCATCAGAGATCAGAGATTTTACATATTTAGACAAGTTTAGGTATCTATGTTTCAACAAATAAATTGATGGAACCAGGATGCAAGCTGGTTTTGTCTGATGCAACTAGCTTTTTATGTCACCATGCACTTGGTGCAAGTTAAATGAAGTTCCTTAAATCGGTGCTGCTCAACACTGTGGCCAACCGATCCCCATGCACAACCAGCATGGGGTACTGTGGGTCAACTCTGCCCCCAAATCCACACAGGGTACACAATGTTACTAGTTCCTATATAATAACATCTTTTTAAGGAAAGGGCATTAACTGACTATAAAAGTCCAGTTTCCACCCTTGCTGAACTAGACTGGAATTCCGGAGCTACATTTTATTATAATACAGGTCTTGATTATCGATCAGATCATCTCGTGGGCACTGCCAAATTGTTTGAAGCAAATGCAAGTGATAGGAGAGATGGAATCCGATTGGTCAATAGGAAGGACATAGAAGGAACATAACCCTTAATAGCCATTGGTGGCACTACGATTGAGCCACGAAATTCCAGCCTAGTTTGGCAAGGGTGGAAACTGGACTTTTAAAGTCAGATTACTATTATCATGTCTCAGTCCAAGCACTGCACACAACATGACCATGATGACACCATCCACTGTTGTCGTTGCTTATTGATAATGTTATGCAAACAAATCGATTCCAGTGAAGTTTCCTAGAGGGCCTTCATTATTTTTCTTGAAATGTCTGTGTAACATCCTTCTAAAACTCATTACTGAACGCCTTGTCCTTGAGCATTTTGATATAACAGCACTTCACGACTGCCATGGCTTGCTTAATTTCTAATTAGCAGAACATACATGATGCATATGAGTTTTCATGTACAAAGGATGAAGGCCCTTTTTCGCCGACTGAAAATGTCAAACTTTAATTTCATGGAAAACTTTGAAATGTTGGTATGATAATTATCAGATATGACAGTCTGAAAACAAACATTTTTTTTCTTTCTAACATGTTGGACTTTCAGCAGGATCAAATAAAAAAGTTGCTCTGAAATGAGTGGAAAGGGCCAACATGTTTTTTAACTCTCAGATACAAACAAACTATCATCAAGTCCTTTAACCAAGATTAATTTTTAGATCCTGTGGGCATTCATGTTTGTTTGTTTGTTTGTTTGTTGTTTAATGCCGCACTCAGCAATATTCCAGCTATATGACAGCAGTCTGTAAATAATCAAGCCTGGACCAGACAATCCAGTGATTGACATCACAAGCATCGATCTACGCAATTGGGATTTGATGACATGCATCAACCAAGACACCGAGTCTGACCCTCCGATCCCGTTAGTCGCTTTTTACGACAAGCATAAAGTCCTGTACTTCCCCGGATCTTCACGGGTCGTTGGCATTCCGGAATATTTCCAATTTCAGTAACATTTTATCTGTAACAATTAGGCATCAATGATCCAATCACTACATCTAGTTCTCTGCAAATCACTCCAATACTAATAATAATTTCCTAATTCCATACCTCATAACTCTCTGAAAAACATCTATCCCTTTACTTGGATATTTAATGTAATATGGGTGGTGGGTGGCCTAATTGTTTAAGTGGTCGCTTGTCACACAGCCATGCGTTACTAAATGTACCCCAAAATACTACTCACTCACTCCATTTATGCTTAGTCATAGTATGACATGACACTCACCTGCTAATTTCAATCTTTCAGGTTTGGCCAAGCCAATAAGTCGCTTTACATCTGAAATCTTGGGGACGGCAGTTTTTGAACTGTTTGGTACTTTTGGGACCTTCTGACGCCATATAGGGGAAGTTTTCACTGTCCGGTACTGTACGACAACCTTCCACAAAGATGATTGCCGCAAAGTTATCCCTCCAAGTATTCTTATAGAGTTCATATTGCGTGGTATGTTGTGTGTGGCGCATGCGATCGCCGTGAATGTGTCTGCACAGATGGGTATTTCTGAGTCCGTCCCGTTAGCACAGTTTCTGACACTATGACCGTGGCTCCGTGACAGTTAAGAGCCTCGCCTCGCCGACTAAATTGGCCCACAGGCTTATGCAACAGTTCACGGCCAGTGACAGCTGCCTTCCCAAGGACGATACAAACATGTCATTTTTATTTTAATTGATGACAATAAATCCAAGTTCATAATTACGTGTTTCTTTTCATTGTTATATTCTAAATGTATCAATAAGCACATTAACTAGATTCTACACGTGAATAGAAGTGCGCTGACATTTTGCTTTACAGCGCCCTCTACGAGAAGTGACGTAAAGGTTTTGACATACTCCCTTAACTCAGTTATTCCCCTTCCCAATAGCTTGAAACGTTGATATTTCCCTATGTGGATTTTACAGGTTTAAGGGGATTCCCCGAATTTACGTCCTTCTGAAACCAAATGATCGAGGAACGATCTATTTCAACACGACGTTCTTTTGCAATGAAATCCATGGTGTACTGAGGGTCCATGGCTTCGAGAAGGACAGGTGAGATAATCGAGCATTTCATCGGCAATATGATGATCATGCAGATGAAGAACTGGAATGACCTCAGTCCATTTATATGCGTCGTAACTGTGTGGGCCCACATTTGCACAGCCACTCGTAAACAACTTGTTTCGTCATATTCATATTCATATTCAAATTATACACCCAGAAGACATTTACAGTTAGTGTCTCTGATGTGAAAATACTTTGGATAATTCACACTCAATTTCAAATAAATAACTAATATATATATTTCCTAATTAATATGCTGTTGTTTGTTGTTTAACACTGCACTCAGTAATATCCCAGTCATAATACAGCGGTCTGTAAATTATCAAGACTGGACAAAACAACACAGTGATTGATATTACGAACAACAATCCATGTATGTGTACAATGAAACACAATCATCTGAGCCACCAAGCCTGACCATCCATTGATACCTATTATTCTCTTTTAAGCACCTACCCATCCCTCCACCCACCACCCACACCCATCTGTAAATAATTGATCATAAATGACCGTCCGACTGACCAGCTGACAGATTGTCAAAACTATGTTGATTGTAAAATAACATGGTCAAATACCTGCATTAGAGGAACGAACCCTTTTAAACTCCCATGTTATAAAACCCTCTGTTAATTCTCTTCCTTTACTAATGGATACGTTTCTTATACATACCATCAGAAAGTGTGATTTAGCTTCACGTTTTCTTATTTCCCAGATGAGAGAGATGAGAGTCGCCAAGGAGACCAGTATGTGAGAGCGTGTGGGTTTCCTGATCGTATGGATAGTGGGATGCACACACAGTCTGGGGCTGCTAGTGCCGCCTCCTCTGGTCACCGCAATGCTTCCTACGCCAGACCAGGTCACAGAAACTGTGCCTCAACCAGTCACGTGACAGGAGATATGAATGATGCCATGCCTGCTCCAGGACATGTGCTTGGTGGCACATCGTCTCCAGAACATGTGCTTCGTGCCACACCTCTTCCGTGCTCAATGTCCACTCCTGTTCAACACCCAACTTCTCAGGATGAGAATCTTGATATTCCAGGACGACATCAGATTCTCAAGTCAGAGGAACCTATTTCTGAGGCAACAGCAGGTATACTTGTCAATCACTGGACCCCAAGTGTTCCTGTAATTCCAACCACTGGTAACAACAGGCTCCAGATGATTGTTGGAGCTGCTGATTATTACTCTCATGTTATCTTTGACATTGGATATTGATAGTCTTCTTTGGGTTTTCAATATATTTTTACACCCATTTGCCCTGTTGTTGGAGTATTTTTACATCAATGAGCAAACATTTCGTTAAAAAATAATTCTGCATAAAATGCTGTCATATGACTTCTAATTTGTATTACTATATTTATATACTATTACTATTATTATATGAATCGCATCGCAAGATACCAAGCGATACTATGCTCTGAAGGATACAGTGGGTAATTACGCATTCTGGTATACTTAATAGGTTTCAAAATGAATTGGTTAATGGTGATTTATTTTACATATTTAATACAAAATGCAGATTATCTAAAGCCATGTAAAAAAATAACGATGAAAATTTTGTACAATACCTTCTCCATGTGATGATGTTGATATGTAATTCAAGATAATGATGTAGATTTTCTCTCCTCCCTGCCAGCCCTTCAAAAGCTGCAGGATGCTCCTTCTATCTCCTCCCTCCCCACACGGGAGGCTGGAGGAGGAGGAACCCCACACCCCCTGAGTAGCACCTCGGAGAGGAAACACAACAGTGAGTGCAACATGCCATCCTTCAATAAAATTAGGACAAATTAGTTAATTAAGGACCAGATTCATGAACATATCTGAAATAGATTCTGATATTCCTAATCTCCAGACCTGTGAAGATCAGGGGTAGAATAGGTCTTCAACAACCCATGCTTGTCTCCCCGCGAAGATCAGGGGTAGAATAAGTCTTCAACAACCGATGCTTGTCTCCCTGCAATGATCAGGGGTAGAATAGGCCTTCAACAACCCATGCTTGCCGGCCTGTGAAGATCAGGGGTAGAATAGGTCTTCAACAACCCATGCTTGCCGGCCTGTGAAGATCAGGGGTAGAATAAGTCTTCAACAACCCATGCTTGCCGACCTGTGAAGATCAGGGGTAGAATAGGTCTTCAACAACCCATGCTTGCCGGCCTGTGAAGATCAGGGGTAGAATAGGTCTTCAACAACCCATGCTTGCAGGCCTGTGAAGATCAGGGGTAGAATAAGTCTTCAACAACCCATGCTTGCCGGCCTGTGAAGATCAGGGGTAGAATAGGTCTTCAACAACCCATGCTTGCTGTAAAAGGGCGATCGGGTGGTCAGACTCCCTGACGTGGTTGATGTATGTCATTATATCCCAATACCATGGATCGATGCTCCTGATGTCAATCACAGGATTGTCTGGTCCACACTCGTTTATTTACAGACCGCTGTCATATAACTGGAATTTTGCCAAGGGTGGCGTTTAACAACAAACAAACAAACAAATCATGAGCTCCACTTGAATGTTGTTTGTTGAATGGTGTTAGTCCCTCTTTCTATACTGTGTGTAACACCTATCAAGGATATCATATCTATCTGTCAAACATCGCTAAAATGAGAATGATAAGTTTTGGGGCTAAATTACACTCCGGGAAATCATCTAAATTATCCTTTCTTGTATACAAGTTGTTATTTAATGACGAAATTTAATTTCGAAACTGTAAACATAAATGGATTACATATATCAAACAAACGTTTGATGAACTTGGACTAAGCTACATCTGGTTTTCACAAAGTTTCACAAATCCTACTTATCTAAAACATGAAAAATTAAGTGACATTAACCTACTGCACAATGTATAGTACATGTATCATAAAAAATGATTGCCTAAATTTTGAATATTATTTAAACGTACTGCAAGAAAACGCTTGGCGAGTCTTACATAAGTTTAGAACTTGTAACCATAATCTACCTATTGAAACTGGAAGATGGAGAAAAATACCTTTAACCGAAAGATAATGCCAACTTTATAAATTATCTGACATAGGTGATGAATTCCATTATTTGTTTATTTGTGAATCTTTAGAAAACAAAAGCAAACATTTTTTACACAGATTCTACTACAGCAAACCCAACATCCATAAAATGAATTTACGTTTCAATAATTCACGATTAGGTACATTGAGAAAACTGTCCAAATTATGATAGCGGCCTGAGTGCAAATTAATGTTCAGTTCAGTTCAGTTCAGTTCAGTTCAGTTCAGTTCAGTTCTGTTCAGTTCAGTTCAGTTCAGTTCAGTTCAGTTCAGTTCAGTTCAGTCAGTCAGTCAGTCAGTTTACTCCACCTTGCAGTGCTTACTTACTTACTTAAGTTAGGAATTGAACGTGCGCTTTCCCCACATATGCGCATTTCGCGCACAGGCCTGTAGGCCTGTTGGTTCTTTTTCAATTAGGAGTACAGTTTCTATACCAGTAGGGGAGGTGCATTGCAAGGTTTGATTTTGATAAGTGTTTTTTTTCTTAGTAAATGTTGCCTTTTTTAATGTTTTGAGCTTAGAAATGTGTTGGAGTCAAGGTCAAGGGTATCAGTGAGCCCTGCTCACTTTTTGCCTTGTTTCCCTATCAATGCCTCTCTATCCTGTTTATTCCCCGTATCAATGCCTCTCTATCCTGTTTATTCCCCGTATCAATGCCTCTCTATCCTGTTTATTCCCCGTATCAATGCCCCTCTATCCTGTTTATTCCCCATATCAATGCCTTTCTATCCTGTTTATTCCCCGTATCAATGCCCCTCTATCCTCTTTATTCCCCGTATTAATACCTCTCTATCCTGTTTATTCCCTGTATCAATGCCCCTCTATCCTGTTTATTCCCTGTATCAATACCCCTCTATCCTGTTTATTCCCCGTATCAATGCCTCTCTATCCTGTTTATTCCCCGTATCAACGCCTCTCTATCCTGTTTATTCCCCGTATTAATGCCCCTCTATCCTGTTTATTCCCCGTATCAATGCCTCTCTTTCCTGTTTATTCCCCGTATCAATGCCTCTCTATCCTGTTTATTCCCCGTATCAATGCCTCTCTATCCTGTTTATTCCCGGTATTAATGCCCCTCTATCCTGTTTATTCCCCGTATCAATGCCTCTCTTTCCTGTTTATTCCCCATATCAATGCCTCTCTATCCTATTTATTCCCCGTATCAATGCCTCTCTATCCTGTTCAATCCCTGTATCAATACCTCTCTATCCTGTTCATTCCCCGTATCAATGCCTCTCTATCCTGTTTATTCCTCGTATTTATGCCCCTCTATCCTGTGTATTCCCCATATCAATGCCTCTCTATCCTGTTTATTCCTCGTATTTATGCCCCTCTATCCTGTGTATTCCCCATATCAATGCCTCTCTATCCTGTTTATTCCTCGTATTTATGCCCCTCTATCCTGTTTATTCCCCATATCAATGCCTCTCTATCCTGTTTATTCCCCGTATCAATACCTCTCTATCCTGTTTATTCCTCATATTTATGCCTCTCTATCCTGTTTATTCCCCGTATCAATACCTCTCTATCCTGTTTATTCCTCGTATTTATGCCCCTCTATCCTGTTTATTCCCTGTATCAATGCCCCTCTATCCTGTTTATTCCCCATATCAATGCCCCTCTATCCTGTTTATTCCCCATATCAATGCCTCTCTATCCTGTTTATTCCCCATATCAATGCCTCTCTATCCTGTTTATTCCCCATATCAATGCCCCTCTATCCTGTTTATTCCCCGTATCAATGTCCCTCTATCCAGTTTATTCCCCGTATCAATGCCCCTCTATCCTGTTTATTTCCCGTATCAATGCCCCTCTATCCTGTTTATTCCCCGTATCAATGCCTCTCTATCCTGTTTATTCCCCGTATTAATGCCTCTCTATCCTGTCACCTCAGTTGGTGTAGCGTCTGCGGGGTGTGAGAGTCTGTCCACGGCTGAGGCCAGGCTACAGCAGCTGAGTCTTGACAGTGGATCTCTGACTGGCTCCTCCAAACTCCGGGATGGAAACAACCAGTGCATCCTTCAGGCTGATGTATCCAACACCCTATCCAACACCCTATCCAACACCCTATCCAACCTGGCAACTGGCTTCAACACCATTGAAGACAAGCAATTGGAATCCAAGATGTTAAATGTTTCAATTGATGAAACTGTCAGCGAACCACTGTCTCGCTCATCGATACCGATTCTCACGTCATATGTTGGAATAACAGAATCTGAAATGGAAGAACGGTTAGCAGATGTGGTGTCGGTCCTCACAACCAAGAAGCAAAACACATTGTCCATGTCCAGTAATGACCTTGGCCTGAGTGGTCAAGGTCGTCAGTGGAGGACAGGTGGCACCAACCTCCCAAAGAATATCCCAGACCCGAGATACAGTATTTCTCTCAATGAAGGTAAGCTGGATGGTCTCTCCTATCGGTTATTATTTTCATAAAATTTAGGTACATTTTAACATGAAAAGGTGAAGAAAAGTTTTATTCATCAGTGCTCGATAATAATAGGGTGTCCTGGGGTCCTTAAAGTTTGTCAGCACCATACCCGTGCTCATGGGCTTCACCAAAGGGGTAAATGTCTGAGACCTGCATCACTTCGGGCTTTCCTCCCACATGAAACTAACATACAAGGATATAAATGGAATACTGTTAAAAGCACCATTTAAGCAAGATTGCAAGCACCTTAAAGTTTGCTCTAATAGTATTTGTATCAAGGGATTGCATATATTCTTTGCGTCACTTAGATTTACCTAACTCAGTACTGATCATTGCGTAGTTAGGCTACACTTTCATTATTGCTGTGAGGCTTCTATTTTTGATTTGGCATTAAATTACTTGTTCACAGATCCAAGTCTGACTGCACAAAAAACGGTCACTAAGTCAACCCAGACTGACCCCCCAGCTGGACAGGTAATTATTGTACATGGTGTAAGGAGGCAGATAATTATTTTACCGTGGCAGGTAATTATTGTTACAAGGTAGGTAATTATTGTAAGGAGGCAGGTATTTATTGTTACAAGGTGGGTAATTATTGTAAGGATGCAGGTAATTATTGTTACAAAGTGGGTAATTATTGTAAGGAGGCAGGTAATTATTGTAACAAAGCAGGTATTAAATGTTATAAGGTGGGTAATTATTGTAAGGAGGCAGGTAATTATTGTTACAAGGCAGGTAATTATTGTAACAAGGCAGGTAGTTATTGTAACAGGTAATTATTTTAATTTGGAAGGTGATTTTTTTAATTAGGAAGGTGTTTAATCTATGAAAATTTGCAGGTAAATATTCAAATTATTTAGGTAAAATTAGTTTCCAGGTAGGTATTTTCTAATTAGACATGAAAGTTTTCTAATGACTGCAGGCTGGTAATTGTTCTAATTAGGCAGGTAACTGACATGTACATCTGTTAAGAGTCATGGGCACTACGTGGGAAGCTAAACGTCCCTGGCAGGATAATGCAAGGAGAAAACAGCTAATTTTCATGCCAGCAAATTTTGGCAGGTTGATGTCCCGATCAGACTGTAGAAGCATTTGGAGAGAGTCACGTCTGTTTTACACACACACACTAAACTCCACATCCCGACTCACATCCTTTCGACTGTTTGAAGAAAAACTGAAAGTGTTGTGAACTAAATTTATTGTCTGATGATTTTATGACTGCTTCATTATCTGTGTCTACAGGACCAGGAGGGCTACGGAGGAGCCGCAAGTGCTGAGCTGGGAGGTGAGTGGCTCAATGTCTGAAATAACTGCCTGCCCGCCCGCCGCGGCTGGTTACTTATCTGTCGGGCATGAAATTTGCCTCCACCTGCCCCATTGTACCCACGTGGTACACTTTACCTTCATTGTACCCACATGGTACACTTTACCCCCCCTTGTACCCACGTGGTACACTTTACCTTCATTGTACCCACATGGTACACTTTACCTTCATTGTACCCACATGGTACAATTTACCCCCCATTGTACCCACGTGGTACACTTTACCTTCATTGTACCAGCATGGTACACTTTACCCCCCATTGTTCCCACGTTGTATGCTTTACCCCCCATTGTACCCACGTGGTACACTTTACCCTCTATTGTACCCACGTGGTACGCTTTACCCCCCATTGTACCCACGTGGTACGCTTTACCTTCATTGTACCCACATGGTACACTTTACCCCCCATTGTACCCACGTGGTACACTTTACCTTCATTGTACCCACATGGTACACTTTACCCCAATTGTACCCAGGTGGTACGCTTTACCCCCGATTGTACCCACGTGGTACGCTTTACCCCCCATTGTACCCACATGGTACGCTTTACCCCCCATTGTACCCACGTGGTACGCTTTACCCTCTATTGTACCCACGTGGTACGCTTTACCCCCATTGTTCCAACCTGGTAAAGTTTACCCCCATTGTACCCACGTGGTACACTTTACCCCCATTGTTCCCACCTGGTACACTTTACCCCCATTGTACCTACCTGGTACACTTTACCCCCCATTGTACCCAGGTGGTACGCTTTACCTACCATTGTACCCACGTGGTATGCTTTACCCCCCATTGTACCCACGTGGTTCGCTTCAACCAACATATTGCTGGAATATTGCTAAAAGCGGCATCAAACCATACTGACTCACTTGTCTTCGGGATAAAAGTAGCAACAAGGGGAGGCAACATTTACCATCAGTTACTGTGACACCTGTTTGTGTGATAATAATTTAGATTGGATTCAATTGTTTGGTGAGTAGTAAAATATGTCCGCCTAAGAAGATATTGGCATTTGTATCTAACACCAACATTAAATGTATCTCATGGATCTAATTAACCAATGCTTTCCCTCTGCTGTGCAGTCCAAACAATGGCATCTGGCCCTTCGTCCAGTCTGCCTCCAGAGGACATCCTGGTGCGCAAGTTGAAGCGACCAATCATCCAGTGGCTACAGAGGAAGCTGGAGACGCAGATCGGGGCAGCGTGGCAGGACCTTGTCGATCTTCATGACTGGGACTACGACCGAATCACAGATTTTGAGAATCACTGTGCCAGTGCTGGGAAGAGTCCGTTCTGTCTGCTTCTGGCAGAGGCCGAGTTCCAGCTGTATCGGCTTTGTGATTTGAAGAAAGATTTGTTCCGACTTCCACGGAAAGATGTTCTGCACGACCTTGATGGTGTAATGGCCAAGTACTACAAGTGAATGATGCGTCAAAATACCACAAGGAAACATTAGGCCACAAGGTCAAAAGTCAAACTGTCCCAAAAGTATCAAATGTTATTTCATGCAGAAACGGCTGAGTGATGGACAAACCGACATTTTCAATATTGCTGCCGTGGCATGTTAGGTCAGGTGAGCTAAGAATTAGGACATTTTGAAAATGCATATGAAATGTATTGAATAGGGCATAAAATGAATTTCAAAGATTAATCTCCATGCTGCTAAAACAAAGATTAATACTGAAACTATTCAAAGTCTACAAAGAAAGGAGTAGGATGACTGAGGGTAGTGTTTAACACAACATCTCCATCTGTAGATACACTGTATCAAGTATGATGAGGCATCATATAGACTAGGATTGACAGCCAACAAATGTCATTGTTACTTTTGTCTCTTAAAATTTTCAGATGAACTGAATAACTATAATAATGGATCAGTCAGTTTGTCTGATAAAATGTAAATAAATTAATAATGAAAATATTACGTAAAACTATGTTAATACACACACGCACGCACGCACGCACGCATGCACGCACGCACGCACGCACGCATGCACACACGCACATATGCTGTATAGTTAACCAACACATGGAGATCAGCAGCCATCAATACTGGATAAGTTGTTGCAGTAAGATGTGTCCAAGTAGTCTTGAGGTTCTGGTTTAATGGTGGTCATATCGCAATAGGACAAGGACCCCTAACAAATGAAGGGCCCAAAGACAGAAGAATATTCAAAATGTTGGTTGAGTTTATTTGAGGTAAAAGTAGAAATTAAAAAAAAATAAATTTGGGAAACGATTTTACCACAAACCAAAACAACCTATCAATCAATCACATTTGTTTAAACTTTTGAAAAATTCAGGGTGAGAACAGCTGTAAAGGTAAAACAATCATTGGCCTAGCTGAGCATACCAGTACATGAAATGCCTCCTTGTAGTGGTGGGACAATACAATGATGCATCAGTGGATCACAAGTTTTTATTTCTCAATACAAGTATCGATCACAGTCGCATACTAAGTAAAAAATTTAGATTCTTACCTTAACTGTTTGCTTTAATAACAGTTCCACTATACACTAATCATTAGTGCAAGTTAATAGTGAAAACATACATATTTTCATTTGTTGTGCCTACTTCAAACTGCTCAGTGTAAATCATCAGTGTGCCAGGTATTTGGCCATCCTGTCTATGAAAAAGATGGCTTACGCACCACAGATAAGAGCACATGCATGTATCATGATACATATCGGATTGCAGAGTCGGTGAATCGCCCTAGCCCTAATTCCTTGTGCCCGTGTGGAATTAAGACTTGTTGTTTTAGTTTACCATTAGATATATAATACAAGAGCTGGCAGCCAGAGAAAGGCTACACCAAATCTTGAATCCTGTAAGATACAACTGTTTTATACAATGATAGATTGTAATTTGCAGATATTCCGATGAAGCGGGCATTTGTCCTGATTTAGGGATGTGTCTTGTGTTTTGAGGGTACATGGATCGATTTGGAATATGTACAGTAAATCTTGAAATTAACGCAAGCGTGAATTAAATGTGAAAAATGCGAGTGGTCCTTGCTCGCATTATTAAACATCGCATTTATGTCAACAATAAGACATTTTGGATAGCAGAAATACCAACTTAGACATACGCTGAAAACAAACAACTATGTATTCCACATCACTGTTTATTGAGCACCACTTGTAACAAGCCTATAAACAATGTCATTCAAACACTAATTACATCCTGTGAATTGTCACTGCTTGGGTCAAGACAAGAGTTCTACTCACTAATGTCATCACTGATAACACCTGCAAGTCCTGACAGACGCAACACAGTGTCTTTGTTCTTTGCGACTACATCAAATGCCGTCACGAGCCAGTGTGCATGTATTGCTTTAGCAGAAATACTCTACTCAGCGCTAATAAGCTTTGCCATTTGGTGTGTGATTGGATTAATGTGAGGATTCTCCTGTAAACCTGACAGAGGACATTTTCTTAAGATGATGCTTGAGAGGTGGGGGGATGTTGCATTCATATTGAGTCGCAATTCTTTTGGAGACGTATTAATTTCACGATTTACAGTATTTATGGCAGTTGTGAAGAATCTTTGCCATGTATTTTAGGATCCGATCATGATTCCAGACTGTTAAATGAGACATTTGGAATTATGGAAATTAGTAGTGCTATGTGGTCCCTTGTTCAGCGTCGTTGGTCTCGGCACGTCCTTGGAGGGGTGACCATGTGCAGCAGCTTGACTCCTGAGTGAGTGAGTATGGTTTTACGCCGCTTTTAGCAATATTCCAGCAATATCACAGCGAGGGACACCAGAAATGGGCTTCTGAGAGTTTCAAGGGCTTTAGTCCTGCCCCACACTGAAGTGATGTCTTTTTGGGCAAGTGACTTTGTTTGAAATATGCTGCTGCTCAGTGAATGGGTACCCGGTAGGAGGAGATGGTGATGTGGCTATTTACTTCTAGTGCCTCACAGACAGATTGGGTTGTATACTCCCCAGGGAGATGAGAATGAATTGCGTGCCCTTTTCAAGTGGACTGTAATTATCCTCTTTACCAAAAGGCCTTAACTGAGGACAAATAGTCACTCTGGTTTGGGGGATACCTGCTGGCTTGTTATCAATGCTGACTAGTTTCACCTATGATTAGACTCATCAGAGCACATATCACTTGGAGATTACATCATAGCAAGTTGTTCTCCTCCTAAATTCTCACAGCTGTTATTTTATGTAATTAAAGGAGAAATTGTTTGTAAAGTTGGAGAAATTTATTATTGCAGTTATCAAAACTACACCAAACACTGTAATATGTTACTCACCCTTATAAACCTACTGCTATTTTTGCCTATTGTAGGGAAGGTAAAACCTTGAATATAGTAAAAGCTCTTTTCCCTGACTCACAGTTTTACATTTTCAACCCAAACCTGGGAGATGTGTTTTATCCTTAACATGTTCCCATTATGATAAGGAGCAGTATTGTTGAAATGGTGAGGTTGATTATTCCGTATAGAATTCTGCAGCATACTGCCAAAGTTTTGGATCTTAAGTGCAGGTGCTTGTTTTGTACATTGCTTGTTAAATTTCAAGGTTTTACTTTCCTTTTGAAAAGTTGGAGGCTCAGCTAAAGAAAAAGAAATTACCATCGATGTGGCCTTACAAAACAGTGAACAATATACACCATGAACTTGTACATACAGTTGTTGTATACATTGACGGAGCCACCGTTGTATTCCTGCAACAATGTTGCAACTGTTGTGTTAAATGTTCTATCTTCTCAAGGAAGAAACAATTATCAACAAGTGACACTAGCAAGTGGCTAGTATTGGTTATGCAGTAGTACAATGTGCATTGAGTTTGAACACATCCCAATTAATTTAAGCTGGTCTGTTAGCCCGAGACTACTAACTTGTAGTCCTCTTTGACTTGTAGCATTTGAGGTCCATAATTCTGATCCGGTTTTCAAAGCTTCAGTTTTGCTACAATTTGAACAGAATAGAACTGACTGTAATGTAATGATAGTAGACAGTTTTGGCTCATTCAAGCATGACTAGCTATAAACTGTGAGGACTAATGAAACACAGTAGCCAGTCGTCCTCTGGACTAGTGAAACACGGTAGCCAGTCGTCCTCTGGACTGATGCAAAGACTTTCTCAGTCAGACTAAACCCTGATGCCATGTTTCATTTTCAAAATTTCAGTTTTGTCATCGTTTAATTTGATAAAATTTGTTGTCATTCAACATTTGATGTTGACAGTGACATGTTAGAGTCTGTGTAATGTCTCACTGACAGTGGACAGAGTGTCTGCCCGGAGAGTGAAAGGTCATTGGTTCGATCCCCGGATCTGTTTACCTGAAAGACGTTAATAAGGTGGTTCTTGTTGTTACCCTGGCTAGCGCTCGGTTTTAAGGGGATAAAAACAAGGGGTCAGCTTGGGGTCAGTATCTGTGTCTGAGTGAGGTACAATGAAGTCTCCATGTTAAACTGTGGCATGGATTGGCATTATAAAACCAGCATTTCCGGACTAGTACAATCAGACACGCACACATATACACTATATAATGGCAATAATTTTGAATGACGTTAAACCCCATTTCACGTCACCTCATCCCATTAATCCTGGAATTTGTTGTACTGCTGACTGGAGGGGATAAATAATTCTCACGTCACAACTAAGTCTCACACTAATGGGTCTCATTGATGACAATATTTACTGTTGTCAACGAGAGAATGATACAGATGAAGCAACAGATTCAGTAAAATGATACCGCGGTACACAAGGCGTGACAATATTGACAGCTATACTCATCAAACAATCCAGGAAACAGCTGGTCGCAATCGTTACAGTAAGACAGGAGAGTGAGTGAGTTTGGTTTTACACCGCTTTCAGCAATATTCCAGCAATATCACAGTAGGGGATACCAGAAATAGGCTTCACACATTGTTAACCACAATGCTATCCCACCGCCCGTAAGACAGGAGAATGTCAGTTGAAATGATTCACAGAACAAGACACAGCAGAGTGTCCGCACCTGGCGTGTACCTCACTGTATCCCATCACGTCCCTTGACACAGGTAGCTTTACCAGCCCTTGCTTGTCCCCTTATTTATAGCCATCAGTATATATGACCATCACGTCCCTGGACACACACACAGGTGGCTGTACCAGCCCTCACTTGTCCCCTTATTTATAGCCATCAGTATATATGGCCTGAGCGTCACTGAAGTATCAGTTTGTTTGTTTGCCGACTGCCGCATGTGTGTATATTGCTTGTTTTTCTACATCACAATGTGAATGGTACAATCGTTTCTTGTGCCACAGTGTATATGTAATTTAATGAAATCCAGGTCTGCTGAATGATGTCTAGAATTATACAGGATATTATATACAGGATCATAGTGTGTGCTAGTGTTATATATGTGTGACAAATTTCTTACTGTGCATATAACTTATGTTGAGACTTGAGACTCATGTCCCTTGTTTTTGGACATTCCTTGTGAAGTCAGTATTTACTATTTACAGGGAATCATTTCATATTATTGATTTGTTGCATAATTGCCACTGAATGTGGCAGTATTCATCTACACAGGATTGAATAATATATCTGTTTGTATTTGCTGTAAATATCAGTGAAGATGAGATGGCTATAAACATGTTTTTTCGGCCAGTCTGGGGGGAAGGCAGTGTTGTTCAAGGTAAGGAAAAGTAACTTTGTCGCGCTCAGCTGAGTGTTTGAGGATACAACTATCAACACTCAGATGTTGCTTTTTTATTTGAGAAATAAAACGTGAATAAATTTGCCTCCATTATTTGTACTGTTTTCAGTTTGAGTTGCCTTCAATCTTGTATTTTGCCTTTGATAGAAAGAGTGCTTAAAAACATGTTTCTTTTTACGATGCTTGCTGAATGTGTCCCAGTCTTTTCATGCTCCACCATGTCATGTTACAGATATGTCATGGGAGTAACTGTCCATATTAATATTTTATTGGTAGCTTCCTGATTCTGTTGAATCACCTCAATAAAACCTGATCCCTAACTAATAATGACTAAGTTAGACAACCTATCTACAATCGTGTGCGTGTGTGTGCGTGCATGAGTGTGAGAGAGACACCCACCCAACTCTGTGTGAGAGAGGAGAAAGACGAGAGAGAGAGACCCACCTGGCTCTGTGTGAGAGAGAGGAGAGAGAAAAGATAGAGAGGAGAGACAGAAGTAGAGAGAGGTAGAAAGCAAACTTCATTTTTCTGTTTTTACTGACTTGCCCCATAAAACAAAATCAAACAGAATTGACACAATCTATTTAAATTAATTTATTCCCATTTGCACAGCAGCAATTAACCACAGTGAATAACAAAGAAAATACTCCAAAACAGTCCATACAGAAGTTACATCCATAAAAAACAAAGGCCACAACAGGAATATGATAATAGTTTGAAATTACGCCCAACATGTTTGTCCGCTATTTCATCAGGTCTCCAGACATTACTTACAAAACACATACAGCATGGGTTCAATGCACTCTCTTCACACAGTGACCTGCTTCAGACCATATCGGGAATGTTGTTTTGTAAGCATCTGCTTTTCACAATTCAGATTGTAAAACAGCTGCCATTTTGCCCAAAATCTGATTGATTGATTGAGTATGGTTTTACGCCACTTTTAGCAATATTCCAGCAATATTCCAGCAATATCAGGGCGGGGGACACCAGAAATGGGCTTCACATATTGTACCCATGTCAGGAATCGAACGCCAAAATCTGAAGCCTCTTTAAAAGATCAGAGCTCATACACAAATACGAACATGTGATGAATTGGTGTAAGACATTAATATGAACATTCATTGTGGAAGCACCGCACATTTGTTGTGAGCAATAGCACAACAACCACCAACACTAAATGGGTTGGTGTACACAAATTCCCGTGGTGTAGTAGTGAAGTGTCTCAGCTAATGACATAAAGCCATGAATTACTCATGCTAGTCCAATTTTCCCTACTCCGTACATGACCCATTGCTGGAAGCAGTGTGAGGAGTAGATGACTGGAAGGTGGTATGATGTAATCTGAGTGATGACAGGTCAGAGCACTTGCTGGAACCAGACTGTGGTTTGATTCTGTAGGTAAAATACTACACCGTATGGTCGTGATTCAGGAGCGTAGTGTGTACAAAACCAGTGACGTATGCAACATAGCACTGTCATAAAACATAAACTGTGAAAATATATTCTCCAACTTGTGTAAAACTAACAAATCATATACAGGTACTTTTTCTGTAATCCTGGGGATACTAAATATTATTCGTGCACATCCCAACAACTTCACATTGTAGCCATTGCAGAACTATGTGCTCCAGTTAATTATGCCCCCAAGACATCAACACCCTCATCATTTACAAACTTAATGTAGATTGATTATTAATGTTTGAAAGATGGCACATGATTGTGTGTGTGTCTGTTTGTGTGTCCTTTTGTCTGTCTGTCTGTCTGTTTGTGTGTGTGTGTCTGTTTGTGTGTCCTGTTGTCTGTCTGTCTGTATGTGTGTGTGTGTGTGTGTCTGTTTGTGAGTCCTTTTGTCTGTCTGTGTGTGTCTGTGTCTGTTTGTGTGTCCTTTTGTCTGTCTGTCTGTATGTGTGTGTGTGTGTGTGTCTGTGAGTCCTTTTGTCTGTCTGTCTGTATGTGTGTGTGTGTGTCTGTTTGTGAGTCCTTTTGTCTGTCTGTCTGTATGTGTGCGTGTGTCTCTCTCTCTGTGTCTCTTTGATTGTGTGTGCATGCGTGCGTGCGTGCGTGCGTGCGTGCGTGCGTGCATTTGCACACAGACAAAAATAAAACTGAGAATTTTTTAGTTTTGATTACTTCATAATAATTGAACACAGTCTGCCTGTCTGTGCAAAACGATAATCCATGATATCCCAACCCTCAATAATCCCCTCAATAATCCAGTGTACGATATGATGATCTCCATTCTAACTAACCTGAACCCATCTTGAAAGTGACCTTTCTGAAAGCATCTCCCTCGTGAGTAGTTTCCCACAGAAATTCTCCTGCATATGAGTTTGCAACAATCGACTAAGAAAGATGTGTATTGTATGTGCTGGGTGACCTCATTTGCATAATTATTCATACTTGAATTGTTGGATAGGCGTTTCCTATTCTATATGAAACGGCGCCTTTACAGTAAAATAAAGAAGTTGTTATCCATAAAATGTGTCTACTTTATCATATCATTACGCCAAGTTTATCGGATTGGTTTATCGCATCAATATCATTAGCCATTTTATAATAAAAGAGACACAGCATATATGGAGATAGAGCATATGTAGAGATAGAGCATATGGAGATAGAGCATATGTAGAGATAGAGCATATTGAGATAGAGCATATATAGAGTGGAGAGATAGTAGTTCTGGGACGGGTAACTCGGATACCCGGGTCGGGTGGGGACTGAATAGGACCCGGGTACCCACAGGACTACTGGACACGTGGTTAGTCACGTGATATATTGTTTAATGACAAAAATTATCTAAACTCTATGGTTACACTACAAGTCACTAATGTTCGTATTTCTTTCTGACTATGCACCCATTCCTTAAGACTTTTCATTTGGTTGAATAAAGATATAACTTAAGTCAACTTCATTGTATGCACGACTAGATTGTTTAATACATTTTGCCAGGGCTATGGTAAAAGATTTACAATCAGACATTTTGTACCTATCTCTTGAGACATACAGTGAATACCCGGGTAGGGTCAGGTAATAGGGGGATGGGTACCCGGGCAGTAAATTTGGACTTGTCCCAGCCCTAAGAGATAGGCAGGTCTCGATTCAAGGAACTTGATTTAACTTGCACCAGGTGCATGTTGATATGGAAACCTAGTTGTACCAGACAAACCCAGATTGTTGTGTTGAAACCTAAGGCTGAGTCAGACACAAAAGTGAATATTTTATCATGCACTTGGTGCATGTAGACATAAATATTAGTTTGCACTTTTCAAAAATAGGTTGCACTGGTGCCAGTTTCATATCGTTAAATCGAGTCCTGGATACGGTACATACAAAGTGGAAATGCAATACACAGCCTGATCAGGATTAAATCATACGGCAAGAACACATCACAGGTTAGGTCATAAAATGCATTTCACATGTACGTAGATTGATTAAAACGGTGCAATCCAACCTTCAACATTGGTCACTAAATCAATCCGTTTCCAGACATTTCCTGTTACAACATAAAACACAGCATGAAGACCATATGGGAATGGGGTGAAATTGAGACTGAATCCTGAATACTTCCAATTCATTATAGCACAATTGGAAAATATGTGAGATCTCAGCAACAGTCATCAAAATATCCCCTGTGTTTCCTCGTCGGTAACAAATCTTTAAGAATGTCCTGAAAGTTGGTGGAATGAAATAACTGCCCACTTTCCATTAATCATCCAGTCTTTGTCGTGGTGTTCAGTCTTCTCTGCCAGACCTGGCTTCAATCCGACCACAACGTCCGACTTGAGAGCACGCAGACTACACAGAGGAGCAGGTTCGAACCCTCGTAGGGACCTGGAAAAGGAGTCGGTAGGGTCCCATCGCTTGTCTCCAACCAACTTACGGTAATTCAGATCACCTTTAAAAAACACAAGGTCTGCTTCACCAAGGTCGCTGTACAGGTCATTCGCTCGTTTTTTCATCAAACTGAAATCGAATGGAGATGTCCAGAAATCACTATCATGAAAAACCCAGGATCCTAACTTGAGCCTTTCCTGCCATTTGGCCCCGAACGTGGATATTGCCAGATTGTTAGTGCCCATCATTATCTGCAGCATCCACTCCAGGTCGTTCCGGGTGACGTCGGACACGAACCACGGGATGGCCTTGCCATGGAAGTGGATGCTGGAAGCAAGGTCAGCAGACATAAGAAACTCGGCCAAGCAGAGGTCTGTGACCAACTCAAAGCCGGCATTGTCCAGTACGATGTCCACCCTCCCAGCTTGACCCCTGGTCTGACGCTTCTGCTGTAGAGTCTGAATCACGTGCTGCGAGTCGTCGGCAAGGATGTTGGGGTTGAGGAGGTTGAGTTGTTCCAGGATGCAGGTTGTCTGGGAGTTGGAAAATCCGGCCGAGATGGACAAGTCACACTTGTTGCCCCACAGCGCTACCTGGAGATGAGATGAAGATGTACATGTTGAAGTTTTGAGTTAGAGGAGTCTTTCTTTGTTGTTTAATGCTGTATTCAGCAATATTCCAGCTACATGACAGCAGTCTGTAAATAATGGAGTCTGGACCAGACAATCCAGTGACTGAATTCAAGAGCATCGATCTATACAACTGGGGTACAATAACATGCATCAACAAAGTTAGCGAGCCTGACTGCCCGATCCAGTTAGTCACCTCTTACGACAAGCATGGGTTGCTGAAAACCAATTCTTGGGTTAGAGTGAGTAATTATCATATTAACACAATATTCCAACAATATCTTGGCAGGGAACACTAAGTCTAGACTTGACATATTATACCACTTGGGGAAGACTTGACATATTGTACCATGTGGGGAAGACCTGACATATTGTACCATGTGGGGAAGACTTGACATATTGTACCATGTGGGGAAGATCTGACATATTGTACCATGTGGGGAAGACCTGACATATTGTACCATGTGGGGAAGACCTGACATATTGTACCAATTGGGGAAGACTTGACATATTGTACCATGTGGGGAAGACCTAACAAATTGTACCATGTGGGGAAGACCTGACATATTGTACCATGTGGGGAAGATCTGACATATTGTACCATGTGGGGAAGACTTGACATATTGTACCATGTGGGGAAGACCTGACAAATTGTACCATGTGGGGAAGACCTGACATATTGTACCATGTGGGGAAGATCTGACATATTGTACCATGTGGGGAAGACCTGACATATTGTACCATGTGGGGAAGACCTGACAAATTGTACCATGTGGGGAAGACCTGACAAATTGTACCATGTGGGGAAGACTTGACATATTGTACCATGTGGGGAAGACCTGACATATTGTACCATGTGGGGAAGACCTGACAAATTGTACCATGTGGGGAAGACTTGACATATTGTACCATGTGGGGAAGACCTGACATATTGTACCATGTGGGGAAGACCTGACAAATTGTACCATGTGGGGAAGATCTGACATATTGTACCATGTGGGGAAGATCTGACATATTGTACCATGTGGGGAAGACCTGACATATTGTACCATTCGGGGATAAGCTGGATGTGAGGCCCAAACATAAATCTGCACGAAACAACATCCTGGAGGCATTGGAAGTCCCCGACTGTCGTAAAACCACACAACTAACTACATATTTTCATTACTTTTTGTATAAAAATAGCTGAGAAATGGCCTTGGCAGCCATATTGAAAATCGGATTCAAACCCCTTAAACAAACTGGGTTGTCATCATTGGTGGGAAAAAGTATGTGAAGTGTCTGTTCTATTGGTCCAAATGACAGACAAACAGGCCACAACATACATTCATTTGACTTTCCGTCATGTGACCTCAAACAGTTAATGTTGAAGTATTACTGGTACGACAAACACTGGGTCATCACTACGGTAGTTCTTCATGGTGGAACTTGTGTTTTGTAGACATACCTCTAGAAACTGCTTCAACTTGTCAGCTTTCTCCTCCGAGGAGTATCCCTGGCACTGTCCGACTACTTCCAGAAGATATGTCAGCAGCGTTGTCACAGCACCCTCTGATGTGTGGTACGCTTCACGCTTCTGTTCTTCAAACACATCGAGGCCTTTCAACTTGTGGCTGTAACCATGGTAACAGACATAAATCTGTGTCTCTGCCAGTCCTGGAGGTTGACTTGACAATTTACTGGTATTTATCATGTAAGTATACCGGTAGAGCAAATGATGGGAGTTAAACTGTTTATATAATAGTATTCAATTATATCAGGAATGCTACCTATTATGAGGCAGTTTCTAGACACTTACAATCTTATTGAAACTCATTAGTAACGGTATGGGGTGACAAAGCAATGATCATAATCAGGGAGAATCTCGGATACTTAACCAACAATCATCGGATCATGTCATGTTAAAGGGATACAACTCCGCACAGTGCATTATGCAAGCTCCTTCCCAGTGCGTGACACCTTTGTGCACTTTTGGTAACATCGCTGCCACCAGTGTGGGTGCGGCCATTACAAGAATCTTGAAATTTGCCCTCTAACTCCAAATGTAGTAATGTTTATACTTTTGTTTCTGTCTTTGGGAATGCAATCATAGTGAATTTTGGAAAGGTTTACGACTGACCAGATTTCCCACATAAATCTAACTTTTTGTTTGTTTGACGAGATTGGTTTGAGATTCCAGATGAATGGAAAACCAACCAACTTCCCTCTTACATTCTTACCATATCAATTACATGATAGTTAGACACACAGTGGGGAGCTTTGACGGGTGACAGCAACAGTATAGAGAGCTCCGCGAACGGGATATCGCTGTGAGGAGCTTGTGCATTATGGTGCAGTGAGAACACGCAGTCCTGGGTAACATGAGTGTCGTTTCAGCATCACATTCAGGCCCTAGCATCTGTACAGAACAGAGTAGTCTATTAGTCTATTCTGCCACAACATGCATGGATTACTAGGTAGCTATTCTAGGCTGGAATAGCCACAGGGAAAAAAGCATGGGGTACTGGGGACCTATTCTCACTCTGAATCCCCACAGGGAGACAAGCTTGGGGTACTATAGATAGAAATATTTCCACTACTCACGTGAGTTCAACAGATTCCTGAATGCGACGGTACATGTAACACTCCAAATATAACCATGCTGCTGAAAACCACTTGATTGGCTTCCCGTTGTTTAACTTGAGTAGATCTTGATGGTGCTGGTTCCAAAACTGTGTATCGGTACGAGAATCCTCTAAATGTTCGACAGGTTTATCTGTCTGAATCTGAAACCGCAACTTAGATAATCTGCCTGTGATGTCCTTCAACTCATCAGAAGTGTCCTGAAGAACAAAAGATCATAATGTAGTAAAGAATTGATTTCAAGATTTCTATATTTTTGCCCATAGAGCATTTTTGTGTGTGAAACTGATTTCCTAACTTGTTTCTGAATGTCGTGAGCATGGTGAGTATTACTGTGAGTCTCCAAACTACTCTGACATATGATGTTGACCTGCTCATAAGCACTGCATGCTACCTACATGTCACACCAGACACACCTTCATTACAGCTGACATCATTATTGTACACTCCCCAGGAGCAGACATTGAGTGCAAACTTATCCAATGACTGAATTAATCATGGTAATAATACTGTAGCGCCTTGAGCATACATTTTGTGAGGAGTTTTGTGCTTTTGAAGTAGACTATTATTCAAAAAGTTCACAATGCATGAAATTGTCATGATTGTTTCTTACTTACTTACTTACTTTGGAGATTTAACGTGCGCTTTCCGACTGATGCGTATTTCGCACACGGGCCCGGCCAGGCCATTTAATGTGTTTCCGAAAGGGGCGAAAGTGGTGTGTGCAACCCAAGAGGGGGCTTTAGGGGTTGCTTATATAGAATTTGGGAATTTTGAGATTTGGAATAGATGCCAATGGGGTAGGGGAGGATAACTAAGGGAGCTGGGTATGGTGGATGTTTGTGTGTTTATGTAATTTTGATTTGGTGGATTATAGTGTTTTTAGATGCGTTTTATTAGTTCCGTTTTGATTAAGAATACGCCTAAGGCCTTGAAGTTTTCTAGTTTATTTTGTGGGTTTAGTATTGCTTCTAGAGTGAGAGCCTTGTTTAGATTGAGCGTGGTTTGTAATGCGGTTCGATGTGTTAGGTAGTGTGTGCAGTGGATGAGTGCGTGTTCTGGGGTTTCTAGTTGTTTGCAGTGTGGGCAGTTACCTGTAGTATGTTTTTTTATTTTTTTTAGGTGGTTATTTAGGTTGGTGTGTCCTGTTTGGAGTTTAGTGATTACTCTGTCGATTTTTTTTGATGGATGGTGAATTTTTGGTTTGGTTAGTGGTTTGCTGAGTACTTTTTTGATTTGGCTATTTGAGTTTAGATATAGGTTATGCCATTTTTTGGTGATTTTTTGCTTGTTTACACTTTTAATTTCTGATTTTGAGATGGGTAAGTTTAAGCTTATTTCTGGGATTTTGAGGGATTGTTTAGCTGCCTTATCGGCGTTTTCATTACCGTATATTCCTACGTGGGCGGGTATCCACAAGAAGGTTATTTGTTTGCCTGCGTTAGTTAGGTCGTTGGAGCTTTTAAGTATTAGATTTATTAATTTAGGTCGGTTTTTGGTATTTTTGTTTGTGATTGTTTCTGAACAAGTGAGTTGTTTTGACAAAATGATGCATTCAAACCATGTTGAAGCCTGTCATTTGAATAATCACAATATTAAGAAGAAGAAAAATTTATGATAAAAATGTTTACCTCTCCACATTCATCTCTCATCTTATTCTTCATCCTGTAGACTGTATCCACAACTTTTGTGAGGATAACTGGCATCCTGTCTCTGACCGTCAAATATGCAAATGAACTGAAAAACAATGAGAATAGGTTACCATTTGTATGTTATAGTGATTGACATAACCGTTGAGACCTTGACTTTCTTTAGGTTAATTGTGCGTAAGAATTCTTAGAAATTTAGAAGGCATGTACTTATACAAGATTATGAAAAGGTTAAAGAAAATATTCAAATACCATCCCAAACAATGCCTGACACTATCGAACCATGGCTTTGACAAGTTCCTGACCCTAAGGATCAAGTGAGTGGGTGGTTTTACACCTCTTTTAGTATTCAGCTACTTTTCTTCAGTGATTAAATGTCTATGACAAAAGGATAATATCCAGCAGTATCACTGATGGGGGCACTAGAAATGGGCTTCACACATTGTACCTATGTGGAGAATCGAACCCGGGCCTTAAGTGTGACGAGCAAACGCTCTAAACACAGGGCTAACCAACTGGCCCCTGCTAAGGATCGAAAAAATGGTTCTGATAGAGAGGGGGCTAAAATTTGGAAGAAGGCCAGGAGATCAGTTTGTTTGTTTGTTTGTTTGTTGTTTAACGCCGCACTCAGCAATATTCCAGCTATATGACGGCAGTCTGTAAATAATCGAGTCTGGACCAGACAATCCAGTGATTAATATCATGAGCATCGATCCACGCAATTGGGATCGATGACATGCATCAACCAAGTCAGCGAGCCTGACCACCCGATCCCGTTAGTCGCATTTTATGACAAGCAGAGTCACCTTTTACAGCAAGCACGGGTTGCTGAAGACCTATTCTACCACGGAATCTTCACGGGCCATATGAGATCAGTGAAGCGTGACCCGGCTTCACGTGAACGTGGCAGCCATGGTTCGGCTGCGCCTGTGACAAAATCAACAAGTGCCCCAGGTGAAGGGCACCACACCAAGACGTAAAAACATCTATGTACGTCTCTGACCACACTCATCATGGATCCGACCACTGCGTTCTCGAGCCAAACGCCCACATGTTCACTTACAAGCCGGATGTTTAATATTTCAATTGTCGATAAATGACTTAAACACAAACGGACCACAAACAGACCACACCAGTATCTCACCACAGACACATTCAACAAGAGTTAAATCTTAAATGGAAAAGACAACTGCTTACTCTTTATATTTGGCAGAAAGATTATCAGGAACATCGTCGAGAGTCTTTGAGGGGTCCATTTTGATATTTCTAAAATTAAGATAGGAAATATAATACGTACAGATGTGTTTTTACCTGATTTTAAATAATAACTCTGTGAAAATTAATATGCCTTTACATGATTGTAACAACGCTTAAAATGGTTATCTAATGCGAAATATCGTATTGCGTATGTATTTAACTATCATATCATATTCCCAATTTCGTCAATTCTCAATTTTATAAATCATAGGTCAACGATTGAGAGTTATCTCCCTTTGTTTCACCTATGCAAGACTGGTTTTTGTGTTGACAGAGTTGATGCAAATATTGACTTTTCCAAATGGAAAGATAGTTATTTGAGGTCGCCTTGTTGGGCGAAACTGACGCGCTGGAATATGAGAATTTAGCTGATAAAATGGAACTCTTCCCCCTACATTCTCACAAGGAATGGCTGCAAGACTGTGCTGGTCTACTCAACTCGGAGTGGCCGAGAAGCATCGCTGCAAGGCAGGCACAGTTTATGGCACTAATTATATGATATATAAATTGTCACATTTTATTTTCTATTACAGTGCATTTATACAGCCCTTGTGAAACGTCAGAGTTGATACAGTATTCAGATTGGTTCATATTCTAGCACACTGACTTAAGTTTGTCTTAACAAAATATCCAAACCATGGTAAAGTTTCTTTTAAAAATGGTGACATAAAAAGTGATAAAATCATTAATATGTCCTCTTGTCCTTTGTCGGCAGAAAATAATTTCTGTGATTGTAATATTGATTGTAATATTGTAATATTGATTGGAAAGAATGCATCACACCGGATACTCTGCCATCTTGTATTGTGCTAGCAAAATGTGTGCGAACTACTTCCTTAGCAAAAAAGGCATCTCAATTATTGCCGTCATTTTACTGCTGCAACAAGTATCCTTACCTGTTAACACTGACACCTTGGATCCCTGTTTTATTATCTTCTTTAGGGTTGGGGTTTAGGGTAAATTTACCTTTTTTAAAATTACTTACCTTTTATAGTTGAAAATCATCTAAACTGTTGTTCATGCTGTCTTGAACAACGACAAGAGGCCTTCGGCGAATGATGATGTCATCGTCTTTAGCGTGTGGATTATAAACACGCTGAATAAGTTCAAGAAAACCTTAAAATTTATCCTGTCTTTGATCTAAATATTTTCGGCGCACACAAGATTCCTCAAACTATGATCAATACATGTCAGTGGTTGTTCCCGTTTTGGGTAATGATCTCTTCTGTGCCTCGCATGACGATTCTATGGTATTGGTGTGGGCGCCCGTAAATGGATCTTTGAAATTGAGAGGGTGATTTACTGTCAAAGGTTCAAAATCCTCGTATTTCAAACAAGTATACGCTCTCCAACAATCACTAGTGATTGTAGTGCCTGGTCTGATATGTTTCTTTATAATTGGAATGAGTACGACTGAACTTCGTTCATTGACCACCTGAAAAAAAACACATTTTGAGTCTCTCTCAATTCCCCAAAACACCCACTTTCTCTCAACTCTCTTTCCTCTATTATACTTCCTTTTCCCAAATTTGCTTTTGTCTATCTCAACAATCTTCCCTTCTCCACCGATCACTTCACTGTCCTCGTCTGCCACGCACACACATATCTCCCGACAAAAGTTATACCAATCAACTGCGGTATGGGTTGAGTTTATATTTAGTTCTCTCCTGGCAAAATCCTGGGGTACCTTGTACACCCAAAAATACATAAGTAAGGTTATACTCGCAAGGCTGAGTTTGCTACCCTCAAACCAGGAATTGTGTCTTATTGACAGTTTTTTCCCACAAGATTTCCTGTTGCATTTCCAACAGATGCTCATCGTAAACTCTGAGTAGTAGCTTTACCAAATAAGGCAGTTACTATGCACTGACATCAGAACTGAATTGACCAATCAGGAACCATTTACCTTCAGAATTTTCTCATGGTCCGATGTTCAGCATCCCATAATTCCACAGTAAGAAAACCATACAAAGTCATTACATTTTTTGTTTTAATTCCATTTTAACAGAATTAAAATACACAGTCTAGTTATACAAGACCGGAAGTGGTGCATAGAGCTCAAATTTGATGTTAATTTTTACCTAGTTCTCTCCGTTTTCGTTTTCTCTTTTTTTGCGCATGATTATCCTGGTATATGAATATCATGTGATCTAAACCAATATGGAGGGTATGTATCCGGTGTAATGCATGTGTACCGATCTGACTTCTACATTGACAACATGGACAAATTATCACCTGATTGACACATCAGATAGACCTAACACAGTTAGCATGATCAGGCGATAATCTAGACAAGCTTCCTGTCTTCGGTTTCCATGAATCAGCAGAGAGGTGGCAGGCCAAAACATTTGATGATAAAAACCTTGTCTCACCATTGTCATGATAGTTATATATCCCTATCTATGCCAAATAAACATGGTAAACATGGTAAATAATCTAACGTTTGTGCTGTGAATGTGGTGAAATGAATTTGTGTTTGAAGATATTTTGTAAAGTAAATTGACATTACATTATATCCACAGACTTTACAGCCTGGAGAAATCCTGTGATGACTTGCCATGTAGCTTGGTTCTTGTGTCAGAAAACAAGGTGGTGGGTCACAGCCGCTTGGCATCAGTCCAAGGAATCAAGAACTCATGTTTACTCGAATCAGGTAATTTTCCTTCACAGAGAAAAGTGGTGCTGAATTTGAATGTCGCTCCATTATCTTAATAATGATATGTGTTGGCAATAGGCATGATGACTTTTAATCATGTTGATAATAATGTTTTATTATTATAATTATGGACTAGATATATCAGTGATAATTTGATTAACATATTTGATGTTTTGTTTGTCTTTTTATCTGCAGTACAAAGGTTTGTAGTGTTTTTATAATTTGACTGATTATTGTTTTATTGGTTTCATATTTATCTGTAAATGTTGTCGTGAGACAATGTATTACTGAGCATAAAAACACAATAATTTTAGAATATGTTAAAAACTTTGATATGACATCAGCATTGATGAGGTGAATATTTCTGATTTCAGTTGTGGTTCCAAAAGATCTACGAGGGAAAGGTTTAGGTCGGAAACTGATGGACAAGACAGAAGAGTATGCCAAGAGGTGAGGGGGGGGGCACGGGTGGCCCAGTCGTCTAAGGCGCCGCAATTCGCTGTGCAGAGTTGCGTCCCTTGGACACGCCAGAAACCTATGATTTTGGGTTCGAATCCCGGTTCGCCCCAATTATGTTTCTAGGTTTGTCAGCACCATACCTGTGCTCGTGGGTTTCACCGAAGTGGTAAACGTCTGAGACCTGCATCACTTCTGGCTTTCAACCCACATTAAGCTGACACGCCGCGATATAACTGGAATACTGTTAAAAGCGGCGTTAAATCCAACTCACTCACTAAGAGGTGAGGGGATCTTCACAGGAGCACGAAGCAGCCCAGCCATTACCCACCCAAAGGGGTTGTTTCAATTAATCAGTTGGTTTCAGTTCACAATGAACAAGTATATCTTAAAATCTGTGATCAATCACTTTCCAATTGTTTTTGGTTTATTCATTCAAATGAATTTGTAGGGATAGATAAGATTTGATAAAACAAAAGTAAACAGTTACTAATGTCACCATGGACATGGTGTGCTGCTGTTGGAATGTTTCCTGGTATATCGGTTAACAATGTTGAGTAAAACAAAGTATCTGCTCATAAAGTCTTGCTCATAAAGTTGTTAATTTACAATACAGAGAAATGCTCTGAACATGCTGAATTTCCCTGGTACCTGATGCCTGTTGTCAGTGCCAAGGTTCCTTGTACCTCTTGCTTGTTGTAAGAGCCGACCAACTGATGACAATGTGTGACTTGGTGGCTGATGGTGTCTCATCATGACCGGCGGTGGTCCAACTACGTCCTAGTTGACTACTAGGTCCCACCTCAATAAAGCACCTTGATATAGCTGGAATATTGTTGACTGTTGCATAAAACAACATCCATTCCCTCACTTCTAAGACATGCAAGATGTAAGTCAAGACATGCTTCTCATGAAGGCAGTAACTGAGACTTATTTCTTTGTTATTTCAGTTCAGGATTCCAAACAATATTTTTGAACACGATAGACAAACAAGAATTTTACCGCCATCTTGGGTACCAGGACTCTGGTCCAGTTGCAAGTCTGGGAGCCAATGCTCATCTCATACCGGATAGTTTGGTGCGTTGTAACATAACTGTTTGATTACCATTCTAGTGAGGAAATAAACTTTATGGATAACAACTTCTAGTTCTGGCTTGATAAATGGTGTAAGATAAGAATCTACATCAAAAGATCACTCTATGCAATAAAGCAGAAGTTGTTATTCATAATATTGTACGTTTTCTTATAGGTAATATCATAAATACATCATCTCATAATGGATAGTCTCTGGGGGGTAATAACATGGATACATCATCTTGTGACAGATGGTCTGGTGGGTAATAACACAGATACATCATCTTGTGACAGATATTCTGGTGGGTAATAACATTGATACATCATCTTGTGACAGATGGTCTGGTGGGTAATAACATGAATACATCATCTTGTGACAAATGGTCTGGTGGGTAATAACAGATACATCATCTTGTGACAGATGGTCTGGTGGGTAATAACATGAATACATCATCTTGTGACAAATGGTCTGGTGGGTAATAACACAGATACATCATCTTGTGACATATTCTGGTGGGTAATAACATGAATACATCATCTTGTGACAGATGGTCTGGTGGGTAATAACATGAATACATCATCTTGTGACAGATGGTCTGGTGGGTAATAACATGGATACATCATCTTGTGACAGATGGTCTGGTGGGTAATAACACAGATACATCATCTTGTGACAGGTGGTCTTGTGGGTAATAACATAGATGTATCATCTTGTGACAGATGGTCTGATGGGTAAGTACATAGATGTATCATCTTGTGACAGATGGTCTGATGGGTAATAACATAGATGTATCATCTTGTGACAGGTGGTCTGGTGGGTAAGTACATAGATGTATCATCTTGTGACAGATGGTCTGATGGGTAATAACATAGATACATCATCTTGTGTCAGGTGGTCTGGTGGGTAGGTACATAGATATATCATCTTGTGACAGGTGGTATGGTGGGTAATAACATGGATACATCATCTTGTGTCAGGTGGTCTGGTGGGTAGGTACATAGATATATCATCTTGTGACAGGTCGTCTGGTTGGTAGGTACATAGATATATCATCTTGTGACAGATGGTCTGGTGGGTAGGTACAACGTACATAGATATATCATCTTGTGACAGGTGGTCTGGTGGGTAGGTACATAGATATATCATCTTGTGACAGGTGGTCTGGTGGGTAGGTACAAGGTACATAGATATATCATCTTGTGACAGGTGGTCTGGTGGGTAGGTACATAGATATATAATCTTGTGACAGGTGGTCTGGTGGGTAGGTACAAGGTACATAGATATATCATCTTGTGACAGGTGGTCTGGTTGGTAGGTACATAGATATATCATCTTGTGACAGGTGGTCTGGTGGGTAGGTACATAGATATATCATCTTGTGACAGGTGGTCTGGTGGGTAGGTACATAGATATATCATCTTGTGACAGGTGGTCTGGTGGGTAGGTACAAGATACATAGATATATCATCTTGTGACAGGTGGTCTGGTGGGTAGGTACATAGATATATCATCTTGTGACAGGTGGTCTGGTGGGTAGGTACATAGATATATCATCTTGTGACAGGTGGTCTGGTGGGTAGGTACAAGGTACATAGATATATCATCTTGTGACAGGTGGTCTGGTGGGTAGGTACATAGATATATCATCTTGTGACAGGTGGTCTGGTGGGTAGGTACAAGGTACATAGATATATCATCTTGTGACAGGTGGTCTGGTGGGTAGGTACATAGATATATCATCTTGTGACAGGTGGTCTGGTGGGTAGGTACATAGATATATCATCTTGTGACAGGTGGTCTGGTGGGTAGGTACATAGATATATCATCTTGTGACAGGTGGTCTGGTGGGTAGGTACAAGGTACATAGATATATCATCTTGTGACAGGTGGTCTGGTGGGTAGGTACATAGATATATCATCTTGTGACAGGTGGTCTGGTGGGTAGGTACATAGATATATCATCTTGTGACAGGTGGTCTGGTTGGTAAGTACATAGATATATCATCTTGTGACAGGTGGTCTGGTGGGTAGGTACATAGATATATCATCTTGTGACAGGTGATCTGGTGGGTAGGTACATAGATATATCATCTTGTGACAGGTGGCCTGGTGGGTAAGTACTTAGATATATCATCTTGTGACAGGTGGTCTGGTGGGTAGGTACATAGATATATCATCTTGTGACAGGTGGTCTGGTGGGTAGGTACAAGGTACATAGATATATCATCTTGTGACAGGTGGTCTGGTGGGTAGGTACACAGATATATCATCTTGTGACAGGTGGTCTGGTGGGTAGGTACATATATATATCATCTTGTGACAGGTGGTCTGGTGGGTAGGTACATAGATATATCATCTTGTGACAGGTAGTCTGGTGGGTAGGTACATAGATATATCATCTTGTGACAGGTGGTCTGGTGGGTAGGTACATAGATATATCATCTTGTGACAGGTGGTCTGGTGGGTAGGAACATAGATATATCATCTTGTGACAGGTGGTCTGGTGGGTAAGTACATAGATATATCATCTTGTGACAGGTGGTCTGGTGGGTAGGTACATAGATATATCATCTTGTGACAGGTGGTCTGGTGGGTAGGTACATAGATATATCATCTTGTGACAGGTGGTCTGGTGGGTAGGAACATAGATATATCATCTTGTGACAGGTGGTCTGGTGGGTAAGTACATAGATATATCATCTTGTGACAGGTGGTCTGGTGGGTAGGTACATAGATATATCATCTTGTGACAGGCGGTCTGGTGGGTAGGTACATAGATATATCATCTTGTGACAGGTGGTCTGGTGGGTAGGTACATAGATATATCATCTTGTGACAGGTGGTCTGGTGGGTAGGTACAAGGTACATAGATATATCATCTTGTGACAGGTGGTCTGGTGGGTAGGTACATAGATATATCATCTTGTGACAGGTGGTCTGGTGGGTAGGTACATAGATATATCATCTTGTGACAGGTAGTCTGGTGGGTAGGTACATAGATAAATCATCTTGTGACAGGTGGTCTGGTGGGTAGGTACATAGATATATCATCTTGTGACAAGTGGTCTGGTGGGTAGGTACATAGATATATCATCTTGTGACAGGTGGCCTGGTGGGTAAGTACATAGATATATCATCTTGTGACAGGTGGTCTGGTGGGTAGGTACATAGATATATCATCTTGTGACAGGTGGTCTGGTGGGTAGGTACATAGATATATCATCTTGTGACAGGTGGTCTGGTTGGTAGGAACATAGATATTTCATCTTGTGACAGGTGGTCTGGTGGGTAGGTACATAGATATATCATCTTGTGACAGGTGGTCTGGTTGGTAGGTACATAGATATATCATCTTGTGACAGGTGGTCTGGTTGGTAAGTACATAGATATATCATCTTGTGACAGGTGGTCTGGTGATCATAATGTTTATAGTGTACTTGTTGCGCCAGCAGTTGACAACAAACTCAGTGTACTTCTATCAATCATGTTCTATTAAAGATCCACTTACTGAAATACTCTGTTGGATCATTCAACATGTTCAAGGAGACTGACCTGAAGAATTATCATGTCTATAGTTTACACTGACATCCTGGTTTTCTCAACTTTCCAGATCGCTAAGATGATGAATGTCGGTATGAGCCACACACCAGACACAGCCAAGAAGGAGGTGGCAGTGGCAGAGTTACCTCCCCCTGACACTAGTCCCCCACCTCCACCTCCCCCTCCCATCCCCCCACCCCCTCCAGCTCCAGCTCCAGCAGATGATGACAGGCACGTCATCCGCCTGAGCCGTAACTCAGTCACATGGATGAGGAAGGACCTTCCCTAGGCTACGATCTACCAGCCCGAAACTGATACCCAAATTCTGGGTTTAGACAAGCACGAAGTGTAATCATGTCTAGGACATACATCATGTACATGCCAGAGTCTTAGCAGGGGATTATGGGTAGGAGTTTTTTAGCCTCTCTTGTTTTAGAGGGATTGCAAAGTCATATAAACTTGATGAAAGATCCCATCTTTTTTTAACGTACCACTTTAAAACTAGGAGCTTGACCAGTTAGTGTCAGTTGCTTGCTGGGTGATAGATGTGTTCACAGCAAATCCAGACGGCCAGTCCAGCAGAACATGTCACTGTTTTTGGCTTCCATTTATGATCCTGATGCCACACTCCAGAATGATTCCTGTATGCCAAGATTAATACCTGTGATAACACGGCATTGTCAGACAGAACCGTCTCTTTCTACCTACAGTCTTAACACAACACTTTCCTCCAGTCCATTGGCTGTGGAGATGTGCTCACAACCAGAGGTAATAATGAAGGGGGATACTTGTCTGACCATCCAGCAGTTATGAGCTGTTTCCACATGATGAGACACATTATTCTGGTAGTTACATTCAATACAGGTGATAAGTTTATAGGTTTTGCTTGAGCTAATTACTGAACACAACACTAGCTTACCACTGTATATTATTTATAGAAGGCTGGCTGCTGGACTGTCAGACAGGAACAGTTACAGACATTACAATTGACCCGAGCAAAGTGCCTGACATAGGTTTGTAAAGCGCCATGTCACTGATAACAATTTATTTCCTGTTTTGTGAATGAGAATAGGGATTCTGTGCCTTATTGAAAATTTGCCATTATATTTTTCTTAAGGAAACTAACTTAAAATCACCTTAGACATCTTTAAAAAATTATTTTGTCTTCGGTCTATTGGCATAATAACCAAAAAAATCTGTAAGGATATTAAATGATAAAAACAAATGTTTTCAGGCAACTTTTCACAAACTGGTATGCTAGTGTAAGTGTGTTTGAAGGCTGACACAGGTTTTGCTTTGTAGTAGTGGAGCAGAAATGCTTGTATGCACTGATTGGCCTGAGAGCCTTCTGATATTTATTTAATATTACGTACCTTAGTTTTTCAATGCTTATGTTATGTTGGAGAACATTTCAATGTTTATAACCAAAGGATATTTTGTGATATTTATAGCCAATTTTCTTCACATACTTCTAGTCCAGCTGAATGTCTCATGGCGTACGGCTTTAGTCATCAACAGTGATGCTGTCCTCTTCAACAGTGATGCTGTCCTCTATAACAGTGATCCTGTCCTCTTCAACAGTGATCCTGTCCTCTTCAAAACTTATCCTGTCCTCATCAACAGTGATCCTGTCCTCATCAACACTGATCCTGTCCTCTTCAACAGTGATCCTGTCCTCTTCAACAGTGATCCTGTCCTCTTCAACAGTGATCCTGTCCTCATCAACACTGATCCTGTCCTCTTCAACAGTGATCCTGTCCTCTTGAACAGTGATGCTTTCCTCTTCAACACTGATCATGTCCTCATCAGCAGTGATCCTGTCCTCTTCAACACTGATCCTGTCCTCATCAACACTGATCCTGTCCTCATCAACAGTGATCCTGTCCTCATCAACAGTGATCCTGTCCTCTTCAGCAGTGATCCTGTCCTCTTCAACAGTGATCCTGTCCTCTTCAACAGTGATCCTGTCCTCTTCAACACTGATCCTGTCCTCATCAACAGTGATCCTGTCCTCTTCAACGGTGATCCTGTCCTCTTCAACAGTGATGCTTTCCTCATCAACAGTGATGCTTTCCTCATCAACAGTGATGCTTTCCTCTTCAACAGTGATGCTTTCCTCTTCAACAGTGATGCTTTCCTCTTCAACAGTGATGCTTTCCTCTTCAGTGATTTTGTCCTCTTCAACAGTGATGCTTTCCTCTTCAACAGTGATCCTGTCCTCTTCAACAGTGATGCTTTCCTCATCAACAGTGATCCTGTCCTCATCAACAGTGATCCTGTCCTCATCAACAGTGATCCTGTCCTCTATAACACTATCTGGATCCATTTTATCTGGAATCGTTTGTTCTGGGTGATTATCTTTGAAACCTCTGTGAAGATACTGGTTAGAATTGGTCTTCAGCAACCAATACTTATAAGAAGTGTCTTGCAAGATTGACAATCATCCTTGCTGTCTTGGTTGCATGTCTTCTAATACAATTGTGTCGACCAATGCGCATGATGTCAATCGCTGGATTGTCTGGTCCATACTCAATTATTACTTACTGCCGTTTTATAGCTGGAATATTGCTGAGTGCAGCGTTAAACGAACAAAGAATGAACCCTTCCAAAACGTACAGGTCCTATGTTTAACGATAGAGACGTACGTCATCTCAGACTACGCCTCATGTGGAAGTCTACCATCCAGATCACCTTTTTCCAGGGTAGCTGCAGGAAGTCCACGGACTACAGGACATAATCATACCCTTTGTGAATATCGCTCGATAGACAGAATACATACTACTGAAAAGTTAAAGAATACCCAATATTTTTCATATAACTATAGTTATTCTGTAATGACATGACAGATTAACTGTTGTCATGTGAAACAATTAGGTGTTCCTTCACTTCTTTTGAGTAGCATATGTCTGTGTAATATATACCTCAAGCTGACATACCTGTTACTTCTATGCATGGATGGGGATGCTGGTCATTGTTTGTGCAGGGAAAACTAGGAGTGTCATCCTACACTTGCAGTCCATCATTTGGAGAGATATTTCATTTGGAAGCACTGGAGCACTGAGTTCAGAACTGGTCCCTGTGTGGTTTCTAATTACAGCCCACGTAATGCCCAACAAAGGAACATCCGTGCCAGACATTGGCTGAGAAGTCCTGACAAAACCGGACGTTTCATTTTCTTCAGTCTGTTGGTCAAACAAACGGTAAAAGGGTCTATACCAAAACGTTGCTTTTACAGTATTAAAGAAGTTAGTTATCCATAAATTGTGTCTACTTTAAACAAATTAAGATTTTAAATACTTCAGTGATGCAGTTAAAATGTTGACCATTCTCCCACTTCTAGGACTCAATACCAGGTCAAGGGGGCATGGGTGGCCCAGTCGTCAAGGCACCGCGATTCGCTGTGCAGAGTTGCGTCCCTTGGGCATGCCAGAAACCTATGATTGTGGGTTCGAATCCCGGTTCGCCCCGATTATGTTTCTAGGTTTGTCAGCATAATACCCGTGCTCGTTGGTTTCACCGAAGTGGTAAATGTCCGAGACCTTCATCACTTCTGGCTTTCCTCCCACATTAAGCTGACACGCCGTGATATAACTGGAATGATGTTAAAAGCAGCGTTAAACCCAACTCACTCACTCACTCACTCAATACCAGGTCACCACCACTACCTCCACTCATGACCATTTTTAAAAATCTTTTTAAGCTTTTTATATATCAGTTATTAAGATAGTATTACAAGATGCAATCTCTCCACTTTGTGGTATATCCTTGTTATGGTGTTTATTAGGGCTGGGACGGGTAACTCGTGTACCAGGTTCGGGTGGGTACTGACTAGGACCTGGGTACCCACAGGACTACCCGGACCCGTGATTAGTCACGTGATATATTGTTTAATGACAAATATGATCTATAACTATGGTTACACTACAAGTCACTAATGTTCGCATTTCTTTCTGACTATGCACCCATTCCTTCTGATTTTTCCTATGGTTGAATCAAGATATGACTTAATTCAACTTCAGTGTATGGTTGACCAGATTGTTTAATACCTGCATATAAATACGTTTTGCTAGGAGGGGGCACGGGTGGCCCAGTCGTCTAAGGCGCCGCGATTCGCTGTGCAGGGTTGCGTCCCTTGGGCACGCCAGAAACCTATGATTGTGGGTTCGAATCCTGGTTCGCCCCGATTATGTTTCTAGGTTTGTCAGCACCATACCCGTGCTCGTGGGTTTCACCCAAGTGGTAAACGTCTAAGACCTGCATCACTCCGGGCTTTCCTCCCACATTAAGCTGACACGCCGTGATGTAACTGGAATACTGTTAAAAGCGGCATTAAACCGAACTCACTCACTCACTCACGTTTTGCTAGGGCTATGCTAAAAATGTTCCCAATCGGACATTTTGAGACATCTCCTGAGACCAACAGTGGGTACCCGGGTAGGGTCGGGTAATAGGGTGGTGGGTACCCGGGTAGTAAATTTGGACTCGTCCCGGCCCTAGTGTTTATATGTAGGTGAAAGATAGTATTACAAGATAATATGTTTCCTCTGTTTTAATCAATGGATTGTTTACTGTTGACTCGATATGTTATTCTGTATTTTTGTTGTATCTGACATTTTCTGTTACTGATCATCTCCTGTACTGCGTGTGATGAACTGAGATTTTGGGGCAGTAATCCTATCCTTGGGAAGCATGGATATTTCTCTGGCAGAGTTATCTTCTCTTGTAGTGTCCCCTATACAAGCGCCTTACAGTGATAGTCGTTCGCGGGGCTCTCTAAACTATCGCTGCCACCAGTGAAAGCTCACCACGGAGATAGGTGGCTACAATCATGGTTGGAGTTGAACTCGCTAACAACAGGCTGTTATGTTTACAAACAAATCATGACTGCCTGGATGCCGTATACTCCTACCCCTGCTAAATTATTTTCTTTGTTTATTAATTTGAATTCCTGCTTCATTACAATTATCATGTAATTGGTATAGCAACAAAGTAAGGGGGAAGTTGGTTGATTTTCCATTCGTCTGCAATCTCCAACTAATCCAATCAAAGAAACAAAAAGGTAAACTGAAGCTGGTGGCAGTAATGTTACCGAGGGTGTAACGAAGGTGTCATGCGCTGGGAAGGAGCTTGGTCACCTGTAGTGATAGTTTTCTGCCCTTGTAGTGTTCCCTATGGCCATAGAGTTATCTGCCCTTGTAGAGTGCCCTCATATTGTAGGGTTTTCTTCGCGGTTACAGCGTGAGCTTGTCAGACACTGGTTTAATTCCCTACTATGTGTCACCCATGCTTGGCGATGCCTAAGTAAGAGATACTCGTGTTTGTCCACCCATCAGCTGTACATGTTCAGAGGGTTTTGTTTTGTTGGTTATTTATACCCATATTAAACAGCATTAGAATAAGCCATTTAATATTTCCTCCTTATTTACTTGAATCCATTCAAATGTTGAACATCAAATCTTTCATCATCTATGGTATAATAGATTGGACCTATGATGTACTGAAGGATTTGTAAGAGGCCTTACATCTTGTATTCAAAACTGTTTGGAAAAGTCTTACAAGTAAAAGTTTTAGATTTATTTATAATCCCTATTCAAATAAGATAATGCATTGTAATGGATATTTGATGTTTATCCTAATTTTGAAGATAATGTTAAATATAGACACCTTGAGGCATTACCTGTCTCCTTGGGAAGTCGTGTATGTGATGTGTTGACAGGTGTGTCAGTCTGTGGGAATAACAAGGCAGCAGGTGTTGTAACTGTGTTATAACACATGTATGTGGGGATTATGCTTCTGTGCCATCTGTTTATCAAATTGTATGTTTACACCTTTTGTATTTGCAATAAAATTATGTAGATTTTTAGTTGTGAGTCTGTTACATAAAGCTGATATGTCTTGATGTGACTCGATACCGATCAGGTGATCAAACCACCAACTGATTTAAATATATTTATCAGGTTGTGTGTACAAGATGCAGAACAAAATATGAAAACATACTCATAGTTGGTTGGTTGGTTTATTGTTTAACGCCGCACTCAGCAATATTCCAGCTATTTGACGGCGGCCACTTACTACACATGATTCCAGGTGGCCACTTACTGCACATGATTCCAAGTGGCCACTTACTGCACATGATTCCAAGTGGCCACTTACTACACATGATTCTAAGTGGCCACTTACTGCACATGATTCCAAGTGGCCACTTACTGCACATGATTCCAAGTGGCCACTTACTACACATGATTCTAAGTGGCCACTTACTGCACATGATTCCAAGTGGGCACTTACTGCACATGATTCCAAGTGGCCACTTACTGCACATGATTCCAAGTGGCCACTTACTGCACATGATTCTAAGTGGCCACTTACTGCCCATAATTCCAAGTGGCCACTTACTGCACATGATTACAAGTGGCCACTTACTGCACATGATTCCAAGTGGCCACTTACTGCACATGATTCTAAGTGGCCACTTACTGCCCATAATTCCAAGTGGCCACTTACTGCACATGATTCTAAGTGGCCACTTACTGCCCATAATTCCAAGTGGCCACTTAATGCACATGTTTACAAGTGGGCAAGGGAGCTTAAGTACTTAGGGACCAACCATTTGCTATCCTAGGGGCAACCCATGAAGATCCGGGGTAGAATAGGTCTTCAGCAACCCATGTTTGTTGCAAGAGGAGACTAACAGGATCGGGTGGTCAGGCTTGCTGCCTTGGTTCATACATGTCATCGTATCCCTGATTGATGCTCAGGATGTCAATCACTGGATTGTCTGGGCCAGACTCGATTATTTACAGACCGCCGTCATATAGCTGGAATAGTGCTGAGTGCGGCGTTAAACAACACATAAACAATCAAACAAACATTCTAAGATGCTTTACTGGAGGCTCTGGGAACAAATGAAAGAAAAATATATAAAAACTAAAAAAATGCTTGAAAATAAGATATTTATGTTTCAGACTACTGAAAAAAACAAATTCTGGCAAGGCCCCCTACCCCCCAAATATCAAATGGCAGCCATATTTATAGTTGGATTGGAATTCTGTGAGCAGTTTTGTAGACACCATAACTTGCACCATTTATACTAGTTTCATCCCCATAGGCCTTGTAAACGTTCACAATGGACAGACTCGCAACACCATAAGCTCAGAAGACTTTCCATCAGGTGAACTAAAAATTACACAATTCTAATAAGTACATAAAATGTTTAATCAGTAGCTGATTACATGTCAGCAAATGACGGCTAAACCATGTTGTGATTGATCCAGTTTTTATAGTTGTCACATTTACCATGCCGTTTATGACAACATGTTTTGTAAATAGATGCAGCAAAGTGCTCCGACATGCTAAATAAATAATAATTATAACAATAGTGATAATAACAATTAATAATACCAATATGAACAATCATAATACCCTGACAGTCAATAACATAAAACACGGAGTGCATGTCACACACAAGTGTCACTATGACATTGGCTGCACAGAATATGTCATTGTATTATGTAAATTCCCTACATAATATTCACAACCCCGCAAAGCAAATAGATTGTCAGTCAGTAACCATGGTAACACTGATGTCACTTGTCCCTGAAGAAGAGAACTGCCTCACTTCATGTCTCGAGTGCATGAGTGAGGGGGGGAATGTTGTTTAATGCCAAAGTTCGCAATACTACCCCTTTGTCCCAGGAAGTACTCTAGTCTGGGGTAGACAGAGTAGTGGGAGATAGCCCTACTAGCAGTCTGTCTATGTCATCAGGGTGTGATGTGTGGGTAGAACCATGAGGGGCACTGTTTTGTGTTACTTATTAACCCAAAACAAAATCTGAAACCACATTTATCAACACTTTTATGTTTCAAGCATACTTTCCATAAACAAGCGTAAAATATTTCTTGCTGACATATGTGAACTTTAAAAAGGTATTCTGAATGGCATTGTGGTAGATTTGTGTTCAAATGCAAAATACATCTTATGGTTGGTTGGTTGGTTTGTTGTTTTACGCTGCACTCGGCATTATTCCAGCTATATGACGGCAGTCTGTAAATAATTGAGTCTGGACCAGACAATCCAGTGATTAATATCATGAGCATCGATCCACGCAATTGGGATCGATGACATGCTTCAACCAAGTCAGCGAGCCTGACCACCCGATCCCGTTAGTCACCTTTTACGACAAGCACAGTCACCTTTTACGGCAAGCATGGGTTGCTGAGGACCTATTCTACCCCGGAATCTTCACGGGTCGGACACCACTGCTTGTATGTAGAAAATCCCAGGGATGTTGTAGCATCCCCATATGAGATTTAACCCTTTTGGAGAACAGTAGGGTGATGTCACGGGAGGTTTACAAGACACAATCAGCCAGATCAATTACCCCCATCTTAGTGCGCTCATTAATATGTAAAATGTATAGGGGGCTTTGGGATGTATTGTGGCCTGAATCCTCACACTTTGTGTTACCAGGATGTAGGTGGACAAATTTAACTTATTCAGCACCCAAATATGTTCACACTTAATAACACTCTTAAACATTCATTTTGATATGTCATGCGAAACTTATCTTCATTAATAATCAGACAAGAAAATACAGACACATGGCTACAGTTTGGGTTCAATTTGTAAAACAAACACCATAGATCGTCATCACTCAGTTTCATAACATGATTATTTTCACTTTTCATGAGAATTCCATAAGAATAAAAACAAAAAATGTAAACAAGAAATAAAAGACTCTTAGGAATGAAAATGTTCCATGAATACTGGATTACCTTTTTAATAAACACATTGAGGGGTAAGCATGGTAAGGTTTGGAAATAACAGCTGGGCCTCGAAAACCTAGATTTCTCCCCATTACGTTTGAATACCTTTAATTTACTAAACTAAGCCCTCCCTCCTTATCACTTTCAGAAAGGAATATCATATGACATTTAATGTGGACAGGGTCTGTAAGTCAGTAATAGTGGCCCAACCACTTGAGGAAATATGGTATGTAAAACTGTAACAAGTGTATAATGCTGAAACAACAACAAGAATTGCAGTGTGAGGTTTTGTCTGAACAGCCCTTGACACAAGGCAAGCAGGAAGTGGCTGAACTGAGCAAAACACATCTGTAACAATCTCCACATCTCAAGCTGCTTCTCACGTCACATCATTTGTAAGAATGGGGGAAACGGAGACGGATGGAGATTCAAGAAAAAACAAAATTACAATCCTATTTACATGTACATATTTCAAGATGGCCAACAGCAGGATCACAAATCATCCATATTTCATTCACTAGTTTTCAGTATTTGTTCTAACATCACAACACTTTACTCTGTGATGAAAGCCGTTTGACGGCGCCTTCCAAGTCGAATATATGCTGGTCTGCAGCCTCTGGTGCCAGTTGGCGGATCGCTGTGGCCAGGTTGAGAAGGTAGTCCACGTTCTTCCCGCTCGGGCCGACAGAGTGGTAGATCTGATGAGCGATGTCTTCCAGCGGGGCGGGGCCCAGGTAAAAGGGGTTGTTGTTGTTGCCGATGTACAGCGTGAGCTGGAATGCAGCCATCGTACAAGCCTGGGGATGGAAGGTCACGATGGTTTGCTCGTACCCACCCTTCTCACGGAAGTTGAGGTGTGAGATCACCTTCTCTACGTCCGACTTGTGGATCTTGTATGCAACACCCCACACCACCTCCTGAAGAAAGAACAAACAGTTACCGGTGCGGAAATAAGTTTAATCAGATGGTTTGATGTGGATTTTAACAATGAGTGAGTTTGATTTTACGCCGCTTTTAACAATATTCCAACAATATCATGACAGGAGACACCAGAAATGGGCTTCACACAATACCCATGTGGGGAATCGAATCCAGTTCTTCGGCGTGATGAGCGAACATTTTAACCACCAGCCATTTTTTATACTCATGAAAATACAATATAACATGAATAGTGAATAAATTTTCTCCTTCAGAAAAGATTAAAATTTATGCCATCACCAGAAAATGATGACTTTCGGAAATATTTGGTGAGTGAGTGAGTGAGTATGGTATTACGCCGCTTTTAGCAATATTCCAGCAATAACCCGGCAGGGGACACCAGAAATGGGCTGCACACATTGTACCCACGTCGGGAATTGAACCCGGGTCTTCGGCGTGACGAGCGAATGCTTTAAGCACTAGGCTATACGACCACCCATTGGAAATATTTGGAACACTCTGACAGATGGTACTTGCCTCGGCATCACTGGACGGAACGAGAGTCACAACACGACCTGGCTGAAAGTACAGTGCACATTGTAGACACATACTGTTATGCTTTGTTTGCTTAGAAGATAAACATACTGTGTTTTCAATGTAGAGCTAGGTTACCTGAAGCCTAGCTCTCCATTGAAAACACAGTATGTTCATCTCCATTCTACCATGACTACATAATACACAAACTCTTTGGTGTGAGCAAACAGTGAGAGAAGCGGCATTGGTTGAGTCTAGTGTTTTGAGTGGGTTGTCGATCAGAATTTATGGAATCACTGCAAAACAGCATTTAAACAAATGATGGCACTCTATATGCAGTTTGTTTACACCATAATACTTCACCTAAAATCAGGACAGGCACTGAGAGCATGGGAACATGAGTTGGGCACCCCTAACATTTCTATCGTGTTTTCAGCACTAAATGAACTGCCACAAATCCTTTTAATATTGTAGTAACCGCAACTTTGCATTTTGGTGTCTATAATTGTACATATAATTATTTAATATGCCTACTGACAATGACTGAAGTACTATTCTACAAATATTAGCTCCTGCGCTGAAGAGGCCTCAAGCCAGCTGTGTCAATCAGCATGACTGACTGACTGACTGATATAGGAGATTTAACGTGCGCTTTCCGACTGTAGCGTATGGCCGGGCCATTTAGTGTATTCCTAAAAGGGTGAAAGTGGTGTGTGCAACCCAAGAGGGGGCTTTTAGGGGTTGCTTATATTGAATTGGTTGTTAGAGTTTTGATATTTATTATGCCATTTTTTGGTAATTTTTTGTTTGTTTACACTTTTAATTTCTGATTTTGAGATGGGTAGGTTTAGGCTTATTCCTGGTATTGAGAGGGGGTGATTTAATAATAACCTCTGATTGACCAATCAGAATAGAGTAATTTCCAAATTCATGGTAGAATTGTTGTTAATGACTCACTCAGCGATAATCAAGTTTTTAACCGCAGTCTGCAAACAATATAATATGGACCTGATAAACTAGAGACTGATGTTAAGACCACTGTCTCACACCGACCCCAAGTCACGTAGTCCGAACATAAGTCCATTTAGTTGCCTCTTACGACAAGCATCAGGGCCTACATATAACATGGCCCAGGCAATATATATACGTTAGGAGGTCTGACCCTGGAGCACCTTGTGTACGGTGCGAGGGTCGTTGTTTCCGCATATATTTAGAGTAAATATTTGTATAATATACTGAGTGAGAGATGCGCAATCATTGAAGTTTTTGTCAGACACAAATCACACATTACTAATCCTACCTCTACTGACGATCTATACGGAAATCAATTAGATCTAGGCCTAAATTAGTTTGACCTATATAGCTGAACTTGACCCGGTTCCGATGTCCTAACAAAACTGACATCCACCAAATATTCATTGTCGTTAATTGTCGTTTCAGTCATAACCTACATGTAATTTATGCATCTCACATCTATCTGGAAACATCCACACCACAACATATGGAGTGTCAACACTAGCATGAGCCGTTCACGCGTGGTTTAGCCGAGTTTTACCTTGCCTGGCACTCCGCGGTGGTCTTCGCTCCCTTGCCAAAACCGCCTCGCGAATCCTTTTATAAATCCAACTACTTTCGTCTCATATGGGAAATCTACCTTCCATATGAGAGACCCGTAGCCAAACACCCACATTTTCTACTTGCTCCTTCTTCGACTCTCTGTTATGACTGTGTTTGACAGCGAACTTACCGTTCTGTGACGTCAGACATTGTCAAAGGTTAGAGGTCAAAGGTTGTGCGTATAAAGACAGGTACATTTTGAAATTTACCGTGTGTACAAGGAGTGCCCCCTAAACATAGGCTGCTTTGTGCATTATGTGACAGTGCTATAACTGAAACACCGGATCCCTGTGGGGTCGGAGCAACAGTTATAACTCTATCCTGCCAAAGGGAACTGTGTTATATTTGTGTAATCGAATATGGAAAGTGGCGAGAAAGATGAACCCCGACGTCGTTATGACTCTATCAATAAACCGTTGTTGGAAAAGGTAATTGAAAGTAATTGAAACACGGGAACCATAGCGGAGATTCACTAGATTTAATAGCCCAGAAATGTTCTTTTTTTAATACTGTCGGATAACCAGTTGCTATATTTACATGTCTATATTATTCTAGGCGGAGGGAACATCATTAGTATGCTTGTCCAAGGGGCTGGTCATATGTTATAGGCATAACGGGTGTGAAGATCGGCCTCAGGACGGTATCCTGTTTTTTTTAAAAATAAGACATGTTTAAACACATGACACGAACCCACGTGTGAGTTGATGAGAACATGTGGTTATTATTTCAATTCTATTAATATGTTGATATTTACCCCATCAAGGCCGTAGTTAATTGTTTTTGACAGGGGGGGGGCAATTATTTGTACAGGTATCTCGTCGCGAAGATGCTCTGCGCGAATGTGTATTTTTCTCGCACTCTCAAACGCAACTTCCTTATTGGTCGAAATGAAGTTATATCTTTAGATTAGTAGAGGCGACTAACGGGATCGGGTGGTCAGGTTCGGTAACTTGGTTTATGCATGTCATCGTTTCCCAATTGCGTGGATCGATGCTCATGATGTCAGTCACTGGACTGTCTGGTCCAGACTGGATTATTTACAGACCACCGCCACATAGCTGAAATATTGTTGAGTGTGGCGTTAAACCACAGATAAAACACTTCTACTTCCAACAGACGGGTACACTGCCAGTGCGATTGACCTTGTGTCGGTGACCTTGGTGAAGGACATGTGCGCCTGTGGGAGAGAGCACAAACTCTGCTAGCTGCACTTGAGCCATTGTGAGGCTGTCAAGCAGACTGTAACATGCTGTACAGGTGCAACTAATTAGATTTATAGTTTTCAAACAATAAAACAAATATTTGAAAAAAATATTTGTTGCTCACACTTAATAGTAAAACGTCACACAGTACGCTGTGCTCAACTCCGAAGGATCATCTCAATATATATACGTGCAGGGTACAGCTGGCGCCCGGGTTGTCCATCTCTCTGTAGGTAGGCTCCTTTTACCCCTTCATGTTTGAAGAGTCATTGCACAACATATAGTCATACTGGGAATAGTCATAATGAGAATTGTCATAACGAGAATTGTCATAATGTGAATAGTCATAACGAGAATTGTCTAAATGGGAATAGTCATAATGTGAATGGTCTTAACAAGAATTGTCATTATGTGAATAGTCTTAACGAGAATTGTCTAAATGGGAAGAGTCATAACGAGAATTGTCATAATGGGAATAGTCATAACGAGAAATGTCTAAATGGGAATAGTCATAGTGGGAATTGTCATAATGAGAATAGTCATAATGGGAATAGTCATAACGAGAATTGTCATAATGGGAATAGTCATAACGAGAATTGTCTAAATGGGAATAGTCATAGTGGGAATAGTCATAAAGAGAATTATCCTAATGAGAATAGTCATAACGAGAATTGTCATGAGAATAGTCATACTGGGAATAGTCATAACGAGAATTGTCATAATGGGAATAGTCATAACGAGAATTGTCATACTGGGAATAGTCATAATGGGAATAGTCATGAGAATAATCATAACGAGAATTATAATTGGATTTGTAATACTGGGAATAGTAATAACGGGAATAGTCAAAATGGGAATAGTAATAACAGGATTATTCAAATTGGAATAGTAATAATGGGAATAGTCAAAATTGGAATAGTAAAAACGAGAAGTGTCGTAATGGGAAGAGTCAAAATGGAAGTGAACCAGTCTCGGAGTCAGCACACTGTAGATGTTGTGCTTGGATATGGAAAGGGTTTTGTCGCTTTATTTCTGACACTAAGTCAGATAACTCCCTTGCCTCGGGAAGATGGTAGACAATGTTCGTAAGCCTACACTAGCGATGTACAAGTGACGACTGTGCAAAATGTACACCTGTAGATATGTAATCACGCTGAAGCACACGCAACCTCGACAGTGTTTCATGTCGCACTGGTCCCGTGAAGATCTGGGGTAGAATAGGTACTCAGCAATATTCCAGCTATATGACGATGGTCTGTAAATAATAGCTTCTGGACCAAACAATTCAGGGATTGACATCAGGAGCATCGATCCACGCAATCAGGACACAACATGCATCAACCAAGCCAGCGAGCCTGACCAACTGATCCCGTTAGTCACTTCTTACGACAAGCATAGTCACCTTTTACAGCAAGCACAGGTTCCTGTAGACCTATTCTACCCCAAATCTTCACGGGTCAGCATGGACATGAAAACTTATTTTTCCAAGATAAGGCGGCAAGATCATAAGAGTGCATAGTTCAGTACCTATTAAAACAACATGTCACCCCTCCCACTGATTACGACTGGCAAAACTTAGTGGACACATGATGTAAAATACAACAAGAGAATCAGAACAATTTCTTTACAAATTTTATTTTTTTGTGACCCTCTTATCAACATTTGCAATCAAGATGAAGGTATGTGTCTTTAATAATTTTGGTAAATAACACCACACTCAGAGCAACATTCAAGCCATTTTGGCAACCTGAAAATAATCAAGACTGGACCTGACAATCCAGTGATTGATATAATGAGCAATGATCCATCCAGTCAGGATATGGTGACTAGTTGTCAGCCATGTAGCCTGACCAACATCTACCACCCTTCTGTCACCTCATACGAGCAAAGAGTGACTTCTCTTGTTCAAGCATTATATAGCATGCTGGGACCATGTCGAACCCAAACCACTTGCACACAACGACTGTCTTAGCACTACCACCCTCGAAAGTCTAACCACTTGTACAAAATGACCGTTGTTGTGCCACTACCATTAGAAGTTAGAGTACGGAAGTTCCAGTTGGTGTAAGTCTCATGTTACAGTATGGATTTACAATCGTCATAGTGCTACGACCTGCATTTTATTTGGCTACATGTATTTTTTGTTGTACCTAATCACGAACAGTTCAATGTAAATTAAGCTTCTTAGATTTTATGTCAGTGCGGCTATGCCATGGCCTCCCTGCATAGCGATGACTCTGTGACAATAAACATGTCCTTCTGGCCAAGGTTCACTTGTACAAGCCTATGACGATTGTAATTCCCATACTATTACATAGATTTATACCACATTATCCTATTCCAGGCAAATTGTCTACTAAATCAACTACATGTATAATCCTTAATTTTTTATTCATCAAAATAAAACAAATTCTTCACAACATAGTTTTAATTTTCCTGTCCTATAGAGTAAACAGACAATCTGCAAAATGTATTCATAAAATGAAAGATGCTGTTCCAGCGATATCAATTACAAGTTTACACACAGCCTGGGGGTTTCCCACGAAAGAATCTGTTCATAGAGGAACAAATAATATCATTATTTTCTGTCACCTTTCCACACCTTAAAAAATAGTGCAATTACTCTGTAGTTCAGCTGAATATGTAATGTAGCTCACCTGAATATATAGTCAGCATTACTTATCTGTTGCTGTCAGCTCTGATACTCAGACATTTCGGCAAATTTGGATCTGACTTAACACATTCGAAACCTGAAGCAAAACAATGTGATGGAATCTGCCACGGAGAATGTGGCACAAAGTCATTTACTGAATTTGGTGAGAAACACATTAACATTTTCAGAGAAAGCGCAAAAGATAGATCATTTTTTATCAAGTGACCTTGCCATGACATGAAACTGCCGAGTCAATGTTCTGTTTGTGTCACAAAAAAAATTGTAAAGGGAAGTTCTTTTGACAAATTCATATGTCATCAATAGTGGGGAGAAGCAAGTACCGTATTCGGCGTAATAAGCGCACCGCTCTAATAAGCGCCCATGGTGACATTTGCTGATATATTGGCTGGTGAACAATCCCAATTAGCACCCCTTCCGATTGATCAATGTACACAAGACTAATTTATTCGCGTATAATACGCACTCGTGTGCTATATGCGCCCTTAAAATAAAATAAAATTCTGGAAAAATATATGTCATACATAAACATTTCAGGCTGTCAGCATAACCATGAAATTTATCTTTCAACTCTGGTTTTTTTCCACCAAAATAATATTCTAATAAGAGCCCCCTATTTCTAATTTTGAGAGCGCCCTGGGCGCTTATTACGTCGAATACGGTCTGCTGTTATCGATCTGCTAGCTTCTGAATAGAAGCAGACCACGCTGCCATTGTCGCAATAAGCCAGATAAGCCATGACCAAGTGGCCAAGAAGTTTCAGGTAAGCTAAGAAAATGTTGAGAAACAACTGACATACAATGTGTACATTCGACATGTCATAGAAACCGTGTTATACAATTTGTGACATTGATGATATATACAGTATGCAGTATGATATATACCATGTTAAACACTCTGATTGAAAAGAGATGTTTTCAGAATAAATACCATATTCGACGTAATAAGCGCCCAGGGGGCACTTAAAATTAGAAATAGGGGGCTCCTATTAGAATATTATTTTGGTGGAAAGAAACAGAATTGAAAGATAAATTTAATTTTGTGGTTTATGCTGACAGCCTGAAATGTTTATATACGACAGATATATTTTCCCAGAATTTAACTGCCCATAATTAAGGGTGCATATAGCACACGAGTGCTTATTATGTGAATAAATAAGTCTTGTGTACATTGATCAATCAGAAGGGGTGCTAATTGTGATTGTTCACTGGCCAATATATTAGCAAATATCGCCATGGGCGCTTATTACGTCAAATACGGTAGATGTTTTCAGAATATA